CTCGTAAAGAGCCAGCGCACCTTGCGCGGGGGCTTAAAGGGTCACCGCGGCTTGTGCGGAGCTCTTAAAGGGCCAGCGCACCTTGTGGAGAGCTCTTAAAGGGACAGCGCACCTCATGCTGAGCTCTTAAAGGGCCAGCGTTTCCCAGGCTCCCCGTGCCGGGGCGGGAGGGCAGGGGCAGAGCAGCAGCCGGGCCGGGCAGGAGGAGCCGCCCCAAAGTGCCCCCAGTCAGATGAGGGCACAGCTGGGCTGGGGTGCTGTGGGGTGGGTTTGGGATTCGTCCCCTCCCCGCAGCATCGCCCCGCACGTCCTGGGATGCTCCTGTCCATGGATCCGGGTGCTGGGGTTGGATAACGTGGGTCCTGCTGCCTCGAGCCCCAAACCCCGTCCTGCACAAGGCCCTGGTTGAGGGAATGGCTGCTGGGTCTGTGTCCATGAGGGATTCTCACCCTCTGGACCTTCCATACCTGCCCTTAATTGTTTTGGTTTGGTTTTTTTTTTTTTTTAGTTTTTTTTTTTTCCTGACTGAAATTTCCCTTTGGAAATCAATCAAAATCCTGATTCCCTTGGGAGCGAGTTGCTGCCTGGGAACATCAGGACAGTAAACAATCAATTAATTAGATGTGGTAGTTGGAAGGTGGCTGTGAGGAAGCATTTCCCAGCTCCTGCTCTGCCCACGGTGCCAGTTGTTTTTTTAAATTAATGGGAGCAGGGATCACTCTGGCTCTGGCCTGTGGCTGCCAGGAACCCTCGGGCTGACGGACAGGGGTGCCAGCTCGGTGCATAATCTGTTTTCTAAAAGCAAATTGGGATATTAAAAATTCATTGTTCCCCTTGGCTTGTGCCCGCTCTCAGCATTTTAAATAACGGAGTGACTGACTCCGTGTTCAGCCCGGGAGGATGTTTAGTCCTGCTGGCTGTAGCTGCAGCTTCCATCACCCCTTCCCAGAGCCTGGCTGTGCTGCAGCATCTTCCCAAGGGCTCCCTGGGCTGGGGGGTGACTGTGGGGCACAGCAGGGCCTGCAAACACCAACCCCGGGCCCCTCAGTGCCTGCCCACAGGATCAGGCAGGGATAAGCCTGATTCTCTAGGGATAAACAGGAAAAGTGGGGGGGAAAACCCAACGGAGGGTTTTCCTAGTGGAAAACCTGCTTGGGGACAGTTGTCTGAGGTGGAAAGGGCTGCCTGGGGACAGCAGTGCTGGCTCTACCCCGAGGGCTCCGTGCTGTGGATTGGTGGAATTCCACTTGGCTGTGGCTGCGTGAGGGGAGACCCTGACCCATCTCTCCACGTGGATACCCAAGGGAGGGAGTTTGACAGGAGCAGGGCTGGTTGGCTCAGAGGTGGCTCTGATGTCCCTGTCCCCTCCAGGCTGACCATGGCCCACAGCCAGTCCCGGAAGCGGTCGCGGAGCAGGAGCAAAAGCAGCTCTCGGAGCAGGCAGGAGAGGAAGGAGAAGAAAAGGAGGAAAAGCAGCAAGGACTCGCAGCAGGGCAGCAGCTCTCCTCCAAGGAAGAGGAACTCCGGGTCTCACGGACACAAGTCGAGCTCGGCAGCAGCCAGGGAAGGTGAGGAAGGCCCGTGACTCCGCGTTTTTCCTGGGGTGGGTGCACAGAGGGGCCCAGATGGGAGAAGAGAGTCCCTGCTTTTAGCTCAGTTGATGTCTGCTTATGTATTGCAGAGAAGAAGAAGAAGAAGGAAGGAAAGGACAAAAAGAAGAGGAAGGCCAGCACCTCCTCCTCTGGGACAGCATCTTCATCCACCAGCTCTTCCTCATCCTCTTCCTCCAGCCCCTCCTCTGATGACTCCAGTGACAGTGACTCCAAAGCAAAGAAGAGTCAACACGGCAAGAAAAAGAGAGTGAAACAGAAAGACAAGAAGAAAAAGAAGAAGAAGAAGAAGAAATTAAAAAAGAAATTAAAAAAGAAGGCAAAGGAAAAGGCTAAGGAGGAGAAAGCCAAGGGAGAAGAGGTGCCTGGCCCCTCGCTGGAGCAGTGGCAGAAGGAATCAGGGGAGGACCCTGGGCCAGGTAATGATGGTGTTTTCCTGCTGGAAGCCTGTGCACACAGGAGCTGTGCTGATCCCTTCCTGGGGCCCCGTGAGGTGTCTGAGGGAAGCAGGGCTGTGTGCAGGCAGGAGCCTCAGGCTCTCCTCCCTCCTACACACTGCGGCCACCTTTGAGCCACACCACGTAAATGTAAGAGCCACATCAGGTGTTCTTTTGTGAAGTGTTTAGATGCAGTTCATAGGTGTGGTGAGGAACAAAGACAGAAGGACAGATTGAGCAGTAACATCCTGGTAGAGCTGCTCCTGCCTTTGGGATGGGAAGTGACCCTTCTTTTGTGTGGTTCACCACTGAACCCTAAGTACCACCAGGAATCTGGCATGGGATGTGTCTGTTGGCTGCAGCCGCAGGGCTGTGCCTGCACTTGGCCCTGGGAGCTGGCTCTGACTGACCAGTGCACTCCAGTTTTGACAGATGAACAGAAATCCCGGATCCAGGCTATGAAGCCAATGACAAAGGAAGAATGGGATGCGAGGCAGAGCGTCATAAGGAGGGTCGTGGATCCCGAAACAGGGAGAACCAGGTACGATCCCCGGGGAGAAAGGAGGGGGCTTGTCCTTCCCTATCCACGCTGTGTGGGTGGGAGTCCTGGAGGATACCTGTCCATGGCACTGCAGTACCATGTGTGGGCCCAGGTCCCCTTGAGCAGCAAAGGCCTGAGCCGACCCCTCACAGGCCAGACCTGTCAGACCTGGTGTAACTTACCCAGAAAGTGACACCAAATTATCAAATTGTGCTGGGGCTTCACACAAGGGACACTGGGCTGTGTCCCAGCATCCCACTGCTGCATCCGCTCACCTTTCAGCTCCGGGTGCAAGTGAGGAGGGAGTGTATGCCCTGTGGGGTTACAGACAACAATCAAACCCAAGTTCATTTGGCTGCCAAATAGAAATGACCCAGTTTTTAATAAACTGCGTCCTCTCAGCCAGCAAAAAACATCACGCTGAAGAGAATTGGGTATGACAAGTCCAGTCTTAAAATAGAAGGCAGCCTGCAGGGCTCAGGGAGGTGTGGAACAAAGGTCGGTTCCCTGTAAGGCATGTAATGAAGACAATTAAATTTCTGTTCATGTTTGGAGGTGTGAGCTGCCTCCAACACTGCTTGGAGTTTGCTCAGCAAGATGCTCCCCAGTCTAGCTGATTTCAGGCCCAAACTGGCTCCTGTTTCTGAATGGCTCTGCAGTTTCCTGGGGCAGGCAGGACCACACCTGAACTGTCTGAAAAAAGGAAGAGGCTTTGCAGGGGTTGGGGGCACTGCTGTTGACAGGGAAGCCTGCAGATTTTGGGGTGGCAGGAGATGCTTTTATTATGTGTTTTCTCGGCAGTGTGACTGCACACAGCAGGCAGTGCCCACAGCCTGGGGCAGGGCTGGCTGGCCCATGCTGATTTCTTAGGGGACTGCACCTGTCCTTACTGCAGCGTGCTGACATTAATCCCATGGGAGCAGTGGAAAAGCCTGCTGTGCTATTTAAGCTTGATACAGCCAAAAAAAGTCACGTAATGCAATGTCAGGGGTAAGTCATCACTGGCCTTGCCTAGAGTGCATCAGCCCAGCACCTGGTCCTGGGCTCTGAGGGAGCTGGGGGCTCAGGGTAGGGTGGGGATCAGCACCTTCTGCAGCTGCAGGAACTCGCCAGGAGCTCTCAAGGCTTGTGCTTGTCTTCCAGGCTCATTAAGGGAGACGGAGAAGTCCTGGAAGAAATTGTCAGCAAGGAGAGACACAAGGAGATTAACAAGGTAGTGGGAACTGGCCACCAGCATGAGCTGCTGGGCACAGCTAAAGAGCTGCTGCACCCAGAGGTGGTGTGTGTTCACCCCGGGTGGTGCTGGTGGTCCTGCATCCTCAGACAATCTGTGATCACCTGTGTCCCTTTGCAGCAAGCCACGAGGGGGGACGGGCTGGCCTTCCAGGTGAGGACAGGGATGCTGCAGTGAGTGTGCAGACACCAGCCAGGCCAGGAGCCCATGCTGTTGCCAGTGCCAGCCCAGGTGGGAGCCTCTGTCTCTGGACCACGCAGACAGCACCGTGTCAACGTTCCCCAGGGGCACTTTGCAGCCTCTCTGTAAGTTACTGACTGGGAAGGAGAGTGACTTCAGTGGTTCATCTCCCACCAAACAGCATCTCCCCTCCCTCTCCCAGCTGAGGCCAGTGTGGCTGTAATGCACCTGAGCCCCCTGTGCCCTGATGCACCTTTGGATGCTGGAGGAGCTCAGCAGCACCCAGGGGACAGGCTTGAGGGTGTTGAGGACCTCAGAGTGCTGCTGCCCCTCAGCTCTGGGCTTTGGTTGGCAGGAACCAACACTGTGGCCAAAAATCCACAGCTGGCTGCCACTTCTTCCCTTCAGGGGCTGCTCGTGGCCCCTTCCTTGCTGGAGGTGGCTCATGGGGCCCTTCACACTCATCAACTGTCCTGCTCAGAGAGGAGCAGCCATGGCTCTGCTCAGGCTGCAGCTCTCCCTGCACCCTTCGGTGCCACCCTCCACCGTGCCCCGGGGCTTTCCTCAACTCTCCTGCAGCTTCATCTCCCGGGGTGGCACTGGGGAGCACTGAGCTGGCACGCTGCACCGGGATGTGTGCAGGTGTGCCTTGTGGAGGGGTGGCTTTACCTTTTGCTGTCTGCTCCTGCATGCAACTCCTGTCCCTGCCCCACAGCACAGGCCCTGGGCAGCCTTGGGGGTCCGGACCTCTCAGCCCATGGCTGCTCTGAAGCAAACAGAGAAGCCTTTCCCCCACAGCAAAGTCCATAAATCTACAAACTGTAAAAAAGAAATGGAGAAATGAGTTAAAGGACTAACAGGACTGATGTGCACGGAGGGTTTCCACGTTCTGTTCACCGCTGTAACCCCATTAAACTGGCGCCTGCTCACGTCTCGGGTTTTGCGACTTATCTCTCTTTAGTCTCCCCCCCCTCCCCCACAAAAAAGCAGACAGAGAAGAGCCTTCCCGTTTCTTTAATCTGTGTAACTCACAATGATACTGTACACAAAGCACACCAGGCATTGGAACGATGCACTAACAGCAAGGAGGAGAAGGAAGTTGTACAGAAGGTTTGCCACACACAAGCGGGTCGTCGGCACGGTGACTGTACACACAGGGTCGGGCATCCCCTCCGGTGGCTCCCCACGCAGGGCTGGTACCCCTAAAGCCATTTTTTATAAATAAAATATAACTAACATCGTCAGAATATAAAATTGACAGTCGAGGGTATCAACAGGCAGAGGGGAGGGGACCGTAAGGCTTCTAGAACTAATAGGAAATGCAGCAAACAGTGGCGATACCTGAAGAAGGGGCTGCTACAGCAAGCACGGCGGCTGCTGGGCGGGTGGGAGGGTGTTGGTGACCCTTTGGCTCGTTACTGCTCACGATCCAACACTGTAAACGGTTTTTGGTGTGAGAATTTCGCCTCATCTGACTTGAGTGATCTGAGCAAACCCAGGGAAACAGCTCGGAGGGAACGCACGGGCTCCTCTGACGGGCGTGAAAAGACTTTAAAGGGACAGCGTCAGGTAGAAAGTCTGGCCCGAGAGCGCAGGAATAGAAAAAGCTGCTTTTTTTATAAAAAATCTGAGCTCTGCAGCAGAGTTTGATTCCCATGGAAACGAAAAACCAACCCCAAAGCCCGAGGCAGCCTGTGTGGTGCAGGTTGTGTTGTGCTGTGTGCAGAACAGGACGTGGGCTGTGCCGGGGGCTGCCCGGACCACGGCCGAGGGAGGAGCACGAGGAACTTCATATTCTTCCATTTCAAAGCAAACAAGTTATTGGTAACAAAGATAAATTAGGTCTTTAACCTGACAGTGCCCCTTTAGTAAGGATGGAACATACATTCATCTTTTCCCCTCACCGCATCCCAACGGATCCTCTTCCATACATGTGGAAAGGCATCGGGTCACATGCATTGCTCCCCAAAACAGCTCGGAACAAACAGGTTATAAACACAGAGTTAAACTATTGCTATTGTTCTGAGTGAGTAGCACGTTGATCTTTGCTTCAGAAGGACGAGTGCCAGATGGGGGCGGCTGAGGACAGAGCGATGGAGACAGGGATGGACTGAAAAGGTGAAGAAAAACTTATTGGCATTTTTCCTGGTAACTACACCCACCTCCTCTGGTATTATTGCAGCAATAAAGGTCCTGCTCTACAATTGCTTCTCCGTGTTGGATCCGTACAATGGCAGCGGATGGGGGGGCCAGGGAAAGGACCCGGGCAAGGTTCAAGAAGCTCAACAAAGGATGAGGACGGAGGTGTTATATGATTGTCAGGCTAACTGGGTAGTAGCTGCTTAAAACATGAAGTGATGGAGAGGTGAGTATCATATTGCACTTCTGCATTCATTGACAGTTACATTAAACTTGGTCCATAAAATAATTGCTTTGTACATAATGCCTGAAACAAAAAGCTACATTTTTAAATATTAATAAACCCTGAAGGTTCCAGTCCCTCCAGACATTTTTTTTTTTCCCCATCTACATAAATAAATAACTTTCAGTTTTATATATCCACTTTTTATGTTGAACATTTACATTCGCCTCTGTTTTACACTATCTACACATAAGAAAATGTGAACATCTCATCAACACTGGAAAATGTACAGATCATGCCTTGGTTGTGGACTTGGAGGAAAAGGTGATGTTTGCAAAGGCCATATCCAAATTTGCAGAAATGATTAAGTGATGTGGTTTGGTGACTTCACAGGATGGATTGTGGCTTGGCTTCCTACTCGGATGGCATCTGTTTGATAGAACATTCGGCTAGCAAAAAGCTGGGACACTTCACATTGTTTTCGAGCCCAGTAAGCTCTGGATGTGCATTCGGAGAGAGCCAAGCTGAGCCGGCAGAAAAGGGAAGTCAGTTTTCGGTAACAAAAGTCATCAGGTACATTCTGTAACTGGATAATTATCAAAGAGAAGCGGTTACACATTTTGCAGTCGGGCTGCAAGACGTGGGGGACGCACTGGGCGGGCGGCAGTCGGGTTGGATCAGCACTGCCCTTCCTCTGCCTCCCTCGGACCCTCCAGCGCCACGAACACACGAGATCGACCTTGGGTGTCGGATGAGTTGGGATTTGCCTACCGTGGCCCAGAGCCAGTGAGCAGAGCAGTGTTCACAGTGCTGTGTATCTCAGTGCGGCCGTCCTGCACTTCTTATTGAAACAGGTAATAAAATGAAGCAGCCAGTCTAAAAAATTCTCTGTTATAAATAAGATCTTCATAAGTAGAAAGTGATATAAAGACAGGGAAGTGTGGTGGGGAAAAGCAGGGGTTACACATAGTCAGGTAGGACTATAAAATCTCCACGTGAAGAGGCTAACTGGAGTCTGTGGGGACCCCCTGGTGTGGGTGCCCCTCTGCCCCGGGAGCTGTGTGCGAGGAGGGAACCTTCACTGGCCCCAGGGGGGACAGGACTAAGGGGCTTTTTGGCAAGCCCTGGCTCTAGGCACTGTTCTCTGTCCCTGTCTCGGTGGCACCGGGTGCCAGCTGCCCTCAGCCACGCACCCCACCCGCCCGCTCCAGCAGCACAAAACCATCGCCTCAGGCACGTCCACTGAGAAACACACCGGGAAAATTAAGATATGGCCTTTTCTTAAGGTTGCCTGACATTGCTGGCACACTTCCTTATAGTCTCCTTACTGCTGGAAAAACTTCTGCACAGATTGTTTTTTTTAAATATATACATATATATATATATGTGTGTGTGTGCATATAGATATACACGCACACCCTGGCTTAGCAATATTTCATTGTCATGCACTACAAACACCGGTGTAGCTACATGAGATGGTAACAGGTTTCCATTCTAAAAATCATCAGTGCAAAAAACAATGAGGTTTGACAGTTCAGTAACTATAGGTAAAAGAAGCGAGTCTAGTTCCCATGAAAGCTGCTACTGAACTTGGAGAGAACCTGGGAAGAAGAAAACGTCTCAGAGGTGGGTGTTGAGAGAGTCAGACCCTGCATTTGGATGAGAAGAACTGCAATGCAATCTAGCTGAGTGCCTTCAGCTGCTTCCAAATATATGGTGGTTACTGTTGGAAACAATATACAGCGAGACTACTTGGAGACTTTTAACAGCAAATTAAGTGTCTGAGGTTTGTAACAGCTCAAACAAAGTAGCTTGTATTCCTCTTTTAATAGGTCACCACATTAAATTCCATCAGCTTCTCAAAGGTCTCTTTAAAAAATAACAGTAATAACAGTAACGACCCCGCTGTCTTGGGCACGAATCTGCCGACATTCTGCCTCTGCCAACAGCATCGACAGAGCTTTAGCTTTGCACTGCACCAACTCCTTGAGAAAGCGGCTGCCCTCGGAGCTCTTTGTACCGATAAAGCTCCCGGTCACCCTGCCTGGCACAGCCCACCATCGATCCTGTGTTATCGACCCCCAGCCTGCCCCGTGCTGGCAGAGCCCCTCAGTCTGACTCCTGGCACAGCCAAGGACAAGGTTGCCCAGCCCCACGCCCTGCTGTGTGGCTCTGAGGACAGCACTCGGTCGCGCGGATCGGAGCGATGGCTAACAAGGCGAGGAGGCACGTATTTACAGTCACTAAACCTGGATAAGAGAAGGAGGCAGGAGAGAGCGCCCTCTTGATCTGGAGACATCACCTCCCCGATTTCCAGCTGTTCCTTGGGCTCCTGCTGCACAAACCCGACGCTCTCGCTGCAAGGCCTGCACGTTCTGCGCGGGAAACATCCCGTCTCTTCCCAGAACACCACGATGTTATTGGAGTAGCACCATATTTACCCTTCCAGCCCGAAACGGCGACCTCGTCCCTCTTTCCTTTTGTTTTCTCCTCCGGTGGCTGCAGCTGTCAATCCTGGCTCTGGCCTGGCTACTTCTGCCCCAAGAGGCCAGACTCCAGCCGGGACGCGGCGCTCCGGCCCCAGCACCCCGTGGCGATGCTCATGCTCCGCTGGCTGCGCTCCCTGTCCCTGTCCTTGTCGCTGTCGGACTGGCTCTGGGTGCGCTCGGGGCGGTGGCCGCCGGCCGAAGGCTGGGAGGAGATGGTGCGGAGCAGGTGGTTCCTCTTGCGCAGGAACTCGGCCTGGCTGGGCAGCCCGAAGCTGCCCTTGCGCAGGGCCATGCGCGTGGTGTTCTTGGCGGGGCGCGCGCGGTGGTTGTACTCCAGCTGCGCCAGGTGGGCCGCGTAACCCTCCGTGATGAACTGCGGGGCGAGAGGGGCGAGGGCAGGGGTTAGAGGGATGGGACACGCTGCCCCGAGAGACACTGGCCACCAAGCATTGTTTGCTGTGCCAGGGTCTCTCAGTCCGAGGTGGTCCTGCTACGCGGGACAGCTCCCGTTCTCTCGGCCAACACAGCTCAGCCACCGGTCTTGAGATGACCAAATTCCCATCTCCCTCCCAGGGGAGGCCCTGGGGCTCAGACAAGCCCCCTCCTACCTGACACTGGCTCTGCAGCTTCTTGGTGGGCCTGCCAACGATGTAGATGTGCGTGGGCGGGAGGCCGATGGAGCTGTACACGGAGATGTCCTTCGTGGATCCGTACGCCGCGTGGATCCTCATGTGGAGCTGTGGGGAGGGAAAGCAACACGCAGTCAGAACACACAGGCACCCCGTGCTGCTCAGCAGGCAGGGCTCTGGGTTTCCGAGAGCATCTGTGGGAATCTCAGGTCACTGGAACTTATGTAAGTTCCCAGCTGGATAACGACCACTGAGCAAGCACTAATTAACGAGCTGGGGATGTTTACAGGCCAGAACAAGAGGAGTAACAGTGATACAAGATCTCCACTTGCTGATCCACAGCCTTGCCTTGAGGTCCGTGGGGGGCAAGGATGCCACACATTTTGCTGCCTGTTGTCACTGGGGTAAAGGAGCTGCAACCCTCCTGTACAGGAATCATTAGTGAGGAATGTTCCCCCAGAGAGCCACTGCTGGGATCTGCTGGGCAGGGATCTCTCTGCCTCCACTCTGAGCAGAGAGCAGCTCCTGGCCAACCCTTTCCTTGCTGGGCTTGGAACAGGGGCTGGCAGGGGAGTTGTGGACACTGGTGCTGCCACAGACTGGCCGGCTTTGTGCCTGAAGCTGAAGGTCACAGACTTGGAAAGGAAATTTCTGACCCTGGTCCCAAACTGATTCTTCTGGAGGACAAGGGAGCAAGTGAGCAAGGAGCTGCTCCCACCACCGCGACTCTGGCCAAAACAAGAGCCCAGGAGAGTTAAGGACAGGCTTTCCTTGCTAACCAAGGCAGGGCAAGTGCCTGGGACACTGGCAGCTCCTTCACTTGCCAGCCACAGAAAACTTTGTTCTATCTGAAGCTTCTCTGAGCCTCTGGGCTGAGTGACTTTTAGACCTCCCAGGGCTCAAAAGCTTGGAAGATTCTCTGTGGAGTCTCCCATGAAGGCTGTGTGATGCAAGGCCATTTCTGCAGCAGCTCCATCCCCTCTCAGACCTGCTGGCTGCACCACAGGCTGCCAGAAAGCCACCAAACACGAAAAAAAGTGCATGTGTGGGGAAGGGAGGATCTGATCAGCACCAAAGGCCTAATGGAAGAGGCAGCAGTCTCAGAGCAGAGGCGACAATTCAACAGCACAGACATTTTTGTAGAGCAATAAAAGGATGAAAATAAAATGAACAGATTAATCTTCCGCTGCAGGTCACATTGCTGCCAAGAGACTGGTGCTGACAGGGACAGTTGGACGAGGAGCAATCTAAAACCCGTGCCACGATCCTATTGCAGCACTGCCAGGCTTACGTCGGTGATGAGGGATTTCAGGAAGTTGGCCTTGTGCCGCAGCGGGTCGTGGACGAGCCCATCGCAGAAGGAGACGATCCCGTGGGGGAAGTTGTGCTGTGCTAACCATGCTACCACCCTCTGCTTCTGCATGTCAGGGCGGCCTGTGACATAGATAATGAGGTAGCCGAGGTCTTGCCAGTGCCTGGAAGGAAAGCCAAGAGTCAGTGGGTTGCAGACCCTGAGCAACACCAGTGTCAAAGAGAGCGGCTGCCACAGCCCCTGCCCTGACCTTACAACATCCACTGCTCCAGCCCGGACTTTGGGGTCGCTGCCCATGATGGACACGCTGGCTGCGAAGGAGCCGTCGATGCTGAACACCACGAACTCCGTCCCCTTGGGCAGGACCGTGATGTAGCTGTCTGCAAACGTGTGGTCACCCCTGGCGAGAGGGACGCAGGTATTTAGAGACAGTGAGATACTCAGAAGGCATCACCGAGTCCTGCAGAGCACCACGAGCCCAAAACAGCACCCAAATCTGGCCCAGAGGCTCCAACAGTGAAGACACCCTCGGTTACAGGCACTGTGTGAGGGTCTCTGGGTTAAAGTGGGGATGGAATAGTAATCTGGAGCCTTGGCATCAGTGACTCAAAGAAGTAACCTCAGAAAACCATTTCTGGGTTCACCACTGAGAAGATGCTCCTCTCCTCCCCTTTCCAGAGCCCAGCACCAGCAACTGGAGCTGAGCTGGAGCCCAGGGCTGTGAATCATCATGAGTACTAAGTTCTGTCCCTCAAGGACAAGTTTATGGTCTTTAAAATCTGCTCAGCTGTGCAGTTTTACAGATGACTGTGAGGTGCACCCTGTGGTGCAGAAGACCTGCCCCTGCAGTGGGAGCTCTGTTCCTGAGCCGGTGGTGATGCATGAGCCAGAATAAAACATGGATCTTCCTCTTACAAGCGGGCCCTACTGCTGGCAAACCAGGCTCTGATCCCACCCAACAGAGCTGCCCCACAAGGAGGGACCACATTCTACAGTCATCAAATTCCTCTTGCAAAGCCCAGGGTACCTCACCTAACCACCATCTTGACGGGGTACACGCCGATGCCCAGGCGCCGGTTCTCGGGGATGACGTAGGAAATCCTGCCACTGCTGTTGCTGATCTCTGTGTCAAAGTAAACCCACTCTCCCGAGGGCGGCTGGGTCATGATGTGAATGTCCACCTGGGGGGACAGAGGAGACACCACAGCATTAAAGACACAGACAAGTAGAACAGGCCAAGCACCAGGACATCCCACCCAAGCCCCTCTGCATGGCAGCAGGGTTGGGTCTTGCTCCCACCCTCTGCACCTCATGGATCTGAGCTGAGAGGCACCCAAACATCCGGGTGCCGGCGTGAAACCCGACCCCAGTGGTGAAGAATCCCGTAACAAATGCTGTTCCTGGTGGGAAGCACCCACAAGTCTGAGCAGGGCAACCTGGCCAAGACACAAGGGCAGCAAGCACTGTCAGTGACCAAGAGAGCACCAACCAGCACCACCTCTGTCCTTCTCACCACACGATGCACAACCCCCCGAGCACACAGGGTACCTTCTCTCCCGTGAGCGTGACCATGTCCAACGGGCCGTACATGAACCTCCCCGTCAGGGTCTGGGGCCCATCTTCGTTAGCGATGGTGTCGTTTATCCTGTGGTTGGCTGTGACGTTCTGCACGAGGCAGGAGGGAAAGATTTAAAAAAAAAAAGATATAAAGGAAAAAAGTCCGCAGCAATGGACAGCCTCGCAGGGAAATGCCAAATATAACCGGACAAACTGGAGCGTGGGTTTCTCTGTGTCGTTCCTCCACTCCACTCTGGGAAAGAATTTGACCTGTGGCAGAGGTGAGGCCCTGTGCCCTGCACTGATGGGTGGGTTGGAGTACACATGGCTGGAGAGCCAGTTTCCATGGCAGGCTGTTCGTGCAATCCTGATACTGTCTATTAACTCTTACACTTTGGAATTAAGAGGAAATACAAAGAGCTGCCAGAGAAATCTGCTGACACTGTTTCGGTTCTAGCACAGAATTGCCTTCTCAGGAACTGGAGACTTTAATGGGAGAGAAGAGCATTTATGGAGCAGAGAACTGGTATTATTGCACTTTGAGAGATGTTCCATTCTGGCTCCTTCTCTGACCCATAGCCAGCAGACTCAGGTTTTTGCAAGTGTCTTACAGACTCAAGGCCAAGAGGAGATTTTGCTGATGCAGATCTTTTGGGTTGCTCATAATTTCTGGGTAGGACATAATCACTAATACAGACCAACAATGCAATGTGACCCTCTACCCACGCTGTGCCCACGCCATCCACCCTGCAGCCCAAACTGAGCCCCCTCCACGTGACAGCCCCAAAACCCCCTCACCCGGAGCTTCACGTGTGTCCTCTTGCGGAGCCACTTCTCCCGGGGCTTGGAGGGGGTGAACACAGACACCTCCTTCCCATCCAGCTCCAGAACGCTCGAGTTCTCGTGTCTCATCACCTGTGGGAGGACAGATCCCACCAAGGCATCACCCCCTGTGTGGTGACCTCCCTCCTCCTGCCTACGCTGTTCCACATCTCCCGAGCCAGCGCTGAGGAAGGGCAATGCCTGGACAGAGGTCCCTGAGTTTGCTGCTGGGCAAGCCTGCAGGTTTTTCAGGGTAAGTGGCCTCTCCTGAACTAGCAAAGCCTGTGGCTGACCCTGACTTAATCCCAGCTGGGATGGAGGTTTTTTAGACCGTCTGGACTCAAACACAGCAGGACGAGCTCTGCACTTAAGATGCCTGCCCTTCCTCCAGGGATTCATTACTCCCTTCCCACAGTCTGCAAGGGACTGGTCTCCTCTGAACACCAGCCTTCTCCCATTCCACGACAGATCCAGCACCAGCCACATGCTGTTCCTTCACCTCATTTCTTATTCCTCCTGAAACACATCCCAGATTGCTCTTGTCCCATGGTTCTTGCTTCTCTCACTGATTTGACCCTGCTGGAGGGCTCTGGCTTGGCCGGGGGGCCTGTCCATCCTGGCCTCATCTCTAAGGCTGACAGAGCTCCAGCACTTTGTGGGATGTCACTGGCCAGCAAGAGGATCAGAGAGGGGGCAAGGTGATGCCCACCAGCCAGCTTTTGGGGCAATTTCTGTCTGTCAGCAGGGCACAAGGCAAGGATGGGAAGCAGGAACCTGGAGGAAGGAGGGTTAAATCCTACTTAGGTTGCCCTTAAGCTCTAGAAGGGAAAAGGAAGAATAACATCCAAAGGTGAGGAGACACCTCAAAGCCTGATGTAGGACTGGGAGGTGACCCTGCACACACAAAGAACTCCAAAACTGGCAGTGGTCCTTGGTGACCAAAAATTAACAAGTCTATTAAATGTGGGCTCTTTTACAAGGTCTTGAACATATTTTGTGAGGTCAGCAGCTCTCCAGCTGAGCTCGGCTGACACGGGCCAGCTCCATCTGCAGAGCTGAAGCTGATTTTCATCCAGGGAAATGGAAAAAGGACCCCAGGGAGGATGAGCCTGCTGGGGAGGGAGTTCATGGAAATCCAATGTAAACAAAATAACGAGTTTCACTGAAAATTATTTAAATCATGAATCTATTTTGAGTCCTATTTGGGCTTGTTTTAACAAGATTTAATCTTTGGAGGCTAAAACTATTCAACAGCTTCTTTTTACATTTTGCCCAGAGGTGACTGTCCAAGGCCATTAGAAACAAGTCCTTATTAGGGGAAGCAGTGGTGTCGTGCTCAGGAAAGACAGAGAGAAGAGAGGGATGAGAAAAACCCTGGTTTCAAGGCAGAGATGAGTGAGCAGAGACAGGCAGTGGGGGTGCCAGACCACCCAGGCTTAGAATGGATAGACAGGTACCGCCAGGTACTCAAGCCACAGGATTTGAAGCACCACACTGTGCTACAAACTCAAGATTCCAACTGAATCCTGAGTAATTGGCTGCTTCCTGAGTGGAACATTTTGTGTCCAAGGCTGTCATGACTGTTCTCCCTCATGCACAATTACAGCTCTCTCTTCTTTTCAGCCCTGTTAGGTTGAGTTTGATGTGGGACCATCCAGCGAGGGCTGTGCAAGCACACAGATGTCCCACTGGGCTGGACACAGCCCGGGAAGAAAGGGTCTCCCTGGATTATCACTGCTGCTCAGCTGCCACCAGCACTGACATCTCTGCTGTTTATGGTTCTCACACTATTTGGAAGATAACACCGAAAGAAAGTTTGCCAACAGAGTCATAAATAATTGAAAGCTGCAGCAGAGGAGGCTGGAAGGGAGTGGGGAGGGTTTAACAGCTGAGCTGACACAAAGCAAACCCAGCGCTGGAGTGGGCAACACAATCCACAAGAGTTGCTTTGAGTTTTGTTTTCTTCCAATTCCATGCTCTAAGTATCGTTCCCTGGGGAGTTCATACTTTGTAAGGCAAATAACTCCCCCTCATCCCCAAGGAATTGAAGGGAAAATATTTCTTTTAGGAAAAAATACATTTTAAACAGTAAATTTACATCTCAGGCCAAATATATGTTGATAAAATCTGAGGTGTCAGACTCCAGACACCAGCAATCTCCATTTTCCTGGCTCCAGAACTGCTTTCTGCTGCAGGAATGAGGACTAAATCCCAATGAGTTTCCAGAGGAAACCACAGTAACTTAGCAAGGCAAAATGGAGAACTGAAATTTGCCTATCAAATTTGTGTTAAATTAATATTAAACTTCTCCTTTGGTTTTATTGTACTTGATGCCATTTTTATTTGTACTTTGAGAAGTTTTCCCTTTCAGTCTTGAGATCCAACTTTGCACACACAGAGCACAGATCACTTCAAGAAACAAGTGCCACTGACCTTTGCCCCAGGCTCTCTCCGTGGATCTCTGGTGAGCCCAATCTGCAACCTGCTCTGATGTTAAAACCCAGACCCAAACCAACCAGGTGTGACAGCACATCCATGAAGTTTGCATGTGTGCAGCTCCACCACCACCACAGGTGAGGAACAAAAAGAAGGGGAAGAAAATGGATCGGGGGGGAGGGGAAAAGGGTATTTTTTCACCTCCACGCATCAACAACTGTTACGGAAGGTGCAGCAAAAAAATAACAAAGAGCCCAAAATATATTTCAGCCCAAGGGAGATCAAGGGAGGGAGGACAACCCTACCTGTCTGAGCAGGAAGGAGACGACGTCTGTGGACTCCCAGTAGCTTGCATGGAAGAGGTGAGGCAAGGCCACTGTTGGGAAAGCCGTCAGGGCGTCGGGGCAGTACAGGGCGTAGTCGATCCGTTTGGTTCCCCACCACTTGGCAGCAACTGGAAGTAAAAGACTTGTTCAGACACAGGAGGGTCACACGAACACACGGTCTCCATCCCAAACGGGATCTCAGGGTTCTGGCTCCTCACTCCAGGTACACCTGAGGCTGCTCCCTGGCTGGTCACACTGCTGAGAGGGAACAGCCAACCCAGGGCTCGGTGTTTGCTCAGACCAAGGGAGGAACACACACAGGCACCAGCACGTGAGGTCTCCTTTATTTCAGCAAATAGGAAGGCACTGGAGGGCAGGTATTAAGGGGTCCAAGGCTCATGTACAATAAGCCTGGGAAACGTGTCTCCCTGGAGCTGTGGGAGGAAGGATGTGTGTGCTTTGCTCACTACAGTACATGCCCAGGCCACCTCCACCCCTGCTTCCAACTCCTTTAGCCTTCACCAAGGAATAGCATCCGGGTTTTGGCCATGCTAAAGAGGATCTGAGTACTGGGAATCCATGTGAGATGCTAAAAGGCACCATAAGGTATATGGCACGTGCTGATGGGTAGTCCCCAACAAATTCTTGTTGCCCTCTTGGGCTACCATGTTGTAGGTGAGCGAGATGTCCAGCCCAGCCTTCCTGGGAGCACAGCCTCTGGAGTGGACAACCAGACAGGTACCTGGGAGCAGCGGGACTTCATTGCATGGGGGACTGAAAAATACACTGGGATCTGGAAGGGCAGGGTTACAAACACCACAGATGAGTTTCTCCCTCAGGGAGACACCAACTCACACCCAAGTGTCCAAACAGCTGCCGTTCACCCCTGGGACCCCCCCACACCTCAACGGCGCCCCAGACTCTGCCCATACACACATCCTGTCTGAATCCCTGGAAATGAGCAGGTCTCAGCCCAAAGCCTCAGACCCCAAAGCCATGGGCTGCTCTCTCAGCACTGAGGAGTCCTCAACGCCCGCGCACTCCGGCCTGGAAAAGCAGCCAAGGGAAGAGAAGATGGATCAGATCAAGAGAGCAGCAGGAAGAGCTGTGTTTGCATGCAGGATGCAAGCTGGGGCTTTGACAAGGGCTTCCTCAAGCTTTGTTTTCCTCTGTGACAATGTTCCCTTTCTAAGGACTTCCAGGAAAGCTGCCAGGTTTAAGGTATGATCCAACACACGCCTCTGTTATGGGAAATCTGGCTGGTGATGAGCAAAGATGCTGAACTGAAGAGATGGATCCACCAGCTCCTCATAGAGACCTGCACAAAGCTCCCACCCCAGCGACATGCAGAGGGATATGACATCAGCACATCCCTGTGACCCAGCCCTGGTTGTGCCAAGTGCCCAGGCCACCCTCACCCTGACGGTCCCTGCTTTTCTGAAGAGCCATGGGAAGGAGGAGGAGGGGTTGACAGATCAACATGGCTTTTCCAGAGCACACAGGCATCTCCTCGTGGCCTTTTCTGACTCCCTGTCTTCCAAACTGACAGCTCCTGCTCACGTCCCAATCTTTCTTTTCTCATGCAAGTCCCCAGCTTGGGTAATTTCAGATTCTTTGTAGGAAGCGGACAGGATTGACTCTTCCATGCTCAAAAGACAGCGGTGAGGCAGAAGCGTTGTCCCCACAGCTCTGCCCAGAAGAATTCCTGCTCCTGCCAAGTTGTTAGCCGTGTTATGACCGGTCTTCCGGAGCAAAGTGACAGAAATACTTGTTAAAATGCAATTAGACATTGCAAGTGCCTCAGTGAAAGTGCAGAGATTTGTTGAGAAGTTCTGTGGCTGTGGAATCAGAGAGGAAGTCGACTGGAGTGGATCTCCCCAGAATACCTGTCTTGATGTCCAGGTCGGGTATCCGAAGAGCACAGCCTGCAGCCCCACTCCGCGGCCCCTGGAGCTTTCTTCCCTTCGCAGGGATTTCATGTTTATGCTGCCTACGTCTCCTGAAGGAGGTTTGGGTGGGGGATTTGTGAGGGAGGGCAAGTTGGGACAGAAGGCTAAACCCTCTACAATGATTAAAGTGGTGTTTGGTTTCTAAAAGGAAAAATAAAATATAGGGAGAAAAAAAAAAGCAGAAATCGCACATTATTACGGCACACACCCATTTCGTCCTTCAGAAATTCACAGCGCAAGAGAAGCTGCACCCTAGGGAGGCTCCCTGGAGGGAGCCGTGGTTTTGTGGTGCCCCTGTGGACTTTCTCCGGCTCTCCCTGGGGATAAACACGGATTGCATCCAACCCTCAGTGCCACAGCTTCACGTTATCACCACACTAATGAGGTGGAGAGCACGAGCTGCAAAGGCCGAGCCGGGGCTCAGGGGACACGCCGGCACTCGGGGGCTGAGGGAAGGGGCCGTGACAGCCGTGAGGAGCCGGCACACCGGGACAGGGAGCACCTGCAGCCCCTGCTGCGGCCACGCTCGTCCTCCTTGAGCTCAGAAACAGGTTTTGACAGCTGTGAAATGCGTGGAGGAATAAATTACACAAAGCAGAAGCTACACGAGGAGGGGGGGAGCACGGGGAAAGCAGAGAGGCGAGCGCTGTGTGGGCCCGGCCCTGCCGCAGCTCTGGCAGGATCCCTCCATCGCGACACGGCGGCCTTGGGGCATCACCCCGGCAAGAACACCCCACCACAAACCAGCACAAAACAAGCACCTTCTCCCCCAGGAGCTTCTTCCCAAGCAGATTGATATTTAGCAAGCACCTGGCCAGATGTCTTACCAGGACAAGGACACGCTCTGGGAGTGCAGCATCGGCTCTCGGATGCGCTTTGGGAAGGAAAACCTTGTTCATCAGAGCCCAGGTACTTATTTTTTCCTGCTGCTGAGCGTTGCCTCAAACAGGGCAAGAGGTTACAGCAGCCCCTGAGTAGCACCCACAGACCTTCAGCAACTCACACCTGCCTCAGGGAGCCTTATTAACCTCAGCAATTAATTATGGACTGAGTAATTCACAGCCTGTGCCAGGAACATCTCTAAATTTTAGCCACCTTCTGGAAATAAAGTTTGGGTTGAAGATTTTTTCATATGGATTTGTTTGTTGTGTTTGTTTTTTTTTTTAATTTAAGTTTTCAGCCTTTTTGGGTCTGAATTATCAGAGGTCCCTGAGGGCACAGAGTGTTCATCTCACAGTTCAGCTGAAACAAAGAAGAACTGTTAACGAAGTCTGTTCTTCTCCACTGTATTAGCTGGGAAATCATACAGTCTTGGGGAAAAAATAACGAATAAAATCCCTTTCATTCCTCATTCGGCTCTGGGATATGGGTCATAACTGGCTGACTGTGAGCTGCCCTGCAGGCTACAAGAGATCTGAATTTCTAATGCAAAGTAATAAATGTTCTGTTCTGAACAAACCTATCCTTGCTCTCTTACAGAGGGGCTTACTCATCCCTGTTTTCCTGGGCCACAGTTGAGGGATCTGCATCAAGCTACATCCTGCATTACCAATCTGGAAGTGCTGATCCTGACCAGTTCTTCACAACTTATCACAGCAGCACAGAAACATCCCTTTGGATTAGCCCTCACCACACACAGCAGCCAAATGGTGCTCAGAATTAGCAATTATTCTATTTTTTTTTAACAATTTATCACCAGCACAGTCCAACATGCAAAACACAGCGGTGGTCCCTGCGTGACCATCAAATATATCACCTGTCCTTCCAGGGGGGATGTGATAACACACAGCACTGCCTGTGGCAAAACCGGGCGAAGGCAGACCAATTCCAACTTGTGGTGATTAATGGGAAGCACGGCCCCGGACAGACAGACAGACAGACAGAAGCTGTGTGGCTCGGCCCGGAGCGTGGTCGGAGAGCGGAGCGGCAGCGAGCGGGGTCTCGGAGGGGTGGAACACTTACTGTTGGCTATGTTGGAAGCAGTGTAACTGTCTGCCATTCCTGAGACCTGGCTGGCAATGCTGATCTCACTGGCTCTCCGGAAGCCCCTGAACTGAGGGGCTGAAATGGGGGTGGACAGGGACGCGTTTTCCACGAAGACGGCACCATGAGACTGAACAACATCTGCTACAAAGTTGAAACAGGGAAATCAAAATATTAGACCAACAGACAGAGGCTGGGCAAGGTGAACTCAGGGAAGAGGCAGGAGGCAAACAAAGCTGGGAGGTGCAAACACCTTTCAGAACGGATTGGAATGAAAAAAACAAAAACCACCATGTATCATCGGAGCTCTGGTTTGAAAAGAAAGCAAAGAGCGCAGCAGGCACAGACATGTGGCTGGAGGAGCAGTCTTTGATTGAGAGAAGCAAAATAAGTAGCTCAAAAATCAGATCCAAAGAAAAACCCAGGCAGGCTTATTCAAGCAGCAGTAACAAGCATGTGTCATACAAACAGATGTGAATATACACAATTTTATATATTCACATCAAGACAAAATAACCCAGGTAAGGAGAACAACAAAAAAAACAACCTTTGAAAGGGGATCTTTGTTTTCTTGAAATATTTAGATTTAAATTAACTTCATCAAGATAAAAACAGTAATGAAAAAAAAAATCAAGAAAACATCTTCATGCCTGGCAGGGACTAATTTGAACGTGTATTTTATTGCTAATGGATACAGCCAACACTCGTTAAACTGAAGTAAGATCTAGTGAAAGAGCCTGGTGCTCAGCACCTGCTTCTCCCATCAGAGCTGGCAGATCTGGGAATGCTCAGTCTCTGTGAAAACAGAGCTTTTCTGGTACAACGAGCATGTCTGAATGTTTAGATCCAAACCTGAGGTTTACCAAGTGTGGCCTAACCCCTTAGTACATAAATACAGAAAAGGAAGATTTAAAATCATGCTCACACGGACTTTATGTAAGGATTGGAGAGAAAAGGACCTCAAATGGCAAACTTGAGAGATGCTGAAAGTCATCACAAAATCTCTGCATTTCGGTTTTCTCTCTGTAACAGTGGAAGAACATTCACCCCTCTCTGTGGATGTTACGAGGCCCAGTTAAATGGGATTAATTAAATGCTCCTGCACTGCAGAGGTTTGTAATGCCAATACCAGGTGCTTCATAGCAGGCAGCACCAGCATGGCAGGAACATGCAAAAGCAAAGCCATTTACTTAATTTTTTAAGGTTTTAAGGTTGCCCATCTCTGCTGCACCTGAGGAGCAGCACCTGAACTTTACCCCCAGGTACCTGACCCACAGGTCTGTGCTCTCAGCCAGGCAGGAGGTGCCAGGGGAAACGTGAGTACCTCACTCCCACACACCAACACCCTTCACCTATTTCAGCCACTTCAGATATCCCTGGACTAATCCCAGTGTGCAGCTGACACAGGGCGTTGTTTTGGCAACTGGTTCATTTTAATATCGATCTTTTTTTTTTTGCTTGGGGCTACTGATTTTCTCCCTCCCATCTCTCAGTTCGCAGCAGCAGTGCCTGTGCCCACACAAATCTTGCTGCAGCCAAGAGAGAGGGAATGTATGAAGCTGAAAATGTGTGGCTACGTGTTGGTAAAAGAGTTCTGTTCTCTGCAGGGAAAATCAGGCCACAAGCTGCTCTGTGTAAAAGCTTTGTGGACTGCGAGATCTGAGCCTTGGCGGGAGCCTGACCCGATGATGAGCTGCACACACTGCCCACGTTGTGCCTGAAAGGCCATTAGCAGCATCACTTTCTCAGCATTTTCCCCCTCTCTTTTCACCTTGCCTCGAGCTGCTGCCTGTCAAGGCTGTGACCAGCATCCACAGCCCAGTGCTGTTTTCTGACTGTGCAAAGCACCAGCTCGAGCAAGAGGAGACAATTCAAGCAGAGAACAGGAGCTGCACTGAACCCCAGAAAGATCTGAAGTGTAAAGGGTCTCATTCCCATTGCTGCAGGACCTGGGACAACCCTCTCATCTCTTCCCTGCTTACCCCTCCCTCTCCTTTCTTAGCCAATCTCGCTTTCCTGGGCCTGATCAGGGATTTTGGAAGGCGATGAGTTTGCAAGAAAAACACCCAACCTGAACAGCCCTTCCAACCCCATCCTAGAGCCACCAGAGGAATAATTCTCACTCCTATAAAAACCTGAAGTGTTTTAGCATTACTGAACTGTTCAGTTCAGTGTCACCCACACTGCTGGCTGCTCTGCAGGGCACGAGGTGCCACCCAACAGCAGTGCTCCTGTGCTCCAGCCCACTCAGGTTGCTCTTGTGTTTCTCACTTTTCCCAAGCTACACACCCTCTGTCCCTGAAAAAAAAGGCAGTTTCTAAGAAAAACAAGGGCCAAGAACAGGCAGGGCAGGAAATGTGGAGAAAAACCTGTTTTATGCATTATTGCTCCCTGAGGCAAGCTTCCTCCACCCCAAAACTGTGACTTCCAAAGAAAATCCTGGGACCTGACTTGCAGAAAAAAACTCACCAAACATAACAATGTGTTTCCTAACTCTGTGTATTCTTTGCACCAAATCCCTTATGTAGCAATCCTGAAACTAAGGGGGCTTTCTTGGGGGCTGTAGTGACCAGGGTGGGATGTCACAGATGCTGCCATGCCCGCAGAGACTCCTAAAGGGAGCCATCTGAAGTCCCCTGCACTGCAGAAGTGCATCCCCAGCCACAACTCATCTCCTGACAACCACAGGGAGGTTTTCCAGCAAAGGCCAGGGTGAAGTCAGAAGGTCCAGCAGCAGCAAGACTTTGATCAAGATTAGCTGTTCCTTCATCACTAGATAAGGACAGAGGTGCCCTGGTTTACTGCACTGGCTGAAGTGCACTTTGTACTGTGGCTCAGGGCAGGCTTTATCAGAGGGAACACAAGGAGACCTGGCTGGAGCAGTGTCCTGAACACCCTCCCTGCCAGCAAAGCACCTGCTGGTGCTCAAACCACATGGCACAACCAGTGCCATAACCCGAGATTAAACTGCACTTCCATTACAGGGAACACAGGCAGCCAAATCACCTTTTTTTTTGGCCTACAATGCATCTTTAACACTTATTTCTGTGCTGTGCCCCATCATTTATGGACTCATTTGTCAGTGTTCTCACTGTTCCCCACAGAGTGAACAGCTCTGGGCCATCCTCTCAGGGAAGTCCTTGGGGTACCTGAGTGACAGATTTTGATACGTGCTATCTGCAGGGTGAGCTGTTGCAGCAAAGCAACAAAGAAATACTGAAAGCAATCAAAAAATATGTACAGTTCAATAAAAATAAAAAATTAAACCCAGAAAAGCCAGCCAGCTGCTCAGCACAGGCCAGACCCTGCCTGCACTGGAGTCACTGCTCAGTGCTGGGCACTCTGCAGTTGCTGCCCTGAGATCAAGAACTACAGATTTCTGTTGCCCATTTTTTTGTCATGATTCTGGAAATTTCCTGCAGTCTGGTGGCTGAACTGGGATTCAGCACTTGCCACAGTCAAGCCAAGCACTGCATTGGCCACACTGTGCTCTTGGCACACAAGTTAAACAGCAGAGAATCATCAAATCCTAGAATGGTTTGGGTTGGAAGGGACTTCAAAGATCATCTAATTCCAACCCCCCACCACAGGCAAGGGATGCTTCTAAAAGCTCTGTCCTGACCACAGGCAATATCAGCTGACAGCTAAATGGCATTTCATTAATGACCTCCAAAGTGATTAATTAATAGCACCAGATCCTTTCCCTCTGCTTTGTAACAGAACCTCACAGCACAGGCAACGTGACAAGTGCACTCCCAAAAATCATCTGCACCTTCCAGAGACAAAGGGAGAGACGATGCGGGATGGCCGGAAGTGTCACCATCCTGTATGACCACATAACATCCCACAGGATCAGCTTGTTAAAGACAACAGGGCAGCAAACCCAGCTCTCGATGCAAAACACCAAGAAAGGCATGAGAAGGGGCAAGTGAGACACACAGGGGAGAAGAAACCAAACCAAAGTCAAGTCTCATCAAAACTGAAGATGCAGCACCAGCCACAACCAGAATAAACGAGGCCATGCAGCGTTTGCAATGGAAGATAAGGCAAAACAAATGCATCAAACTTTGCTTTTAAGACAGAAGACGAGAAATTAATTTAAAAAAAGCCAACACACAGAGCCACCCTGGGATCCGAAAGCCTCGGTCGCTGTGTTGGGCAGAGCCACGAGGAGTGTCCAAACGTGAGAGACTCAAAGGGACAAAACCTGGTGTGACACAAGCATTCATTGGAGGTGACTGCTGACAACCCTTTCCCAAGGGATCTGCCCACGTGAATACCACACAGGCAGGGCCACCAGAACAGGACAGTCCGCAAACCCAACCTGCTGCTGCCATGGTGGGTCTCCCAGCCCCGAGCGTGATCCCAACTGGTGATTTCATGTGGTACGGCCCGAGACACAGCACGAGGATTTCAACCCCAGGAGGCAAGAGTATGATCTCCAAAAAAGCACCCCAAGAACCCAACACCACAGACAATACAAAAGTGTAGATTACACACACTCAGCAAAACCAGCACTTTTATTGGGAACATCTTGCCAATTCAGTACGGGAACGGGGATACTTGTTTCCATGAAGCTGTCCTGGTGCTGGAGAGCACCCAGAGGGCTACTTTCCATGAGGAGGATGGGATTGTTCTGGATTGTCTCAACTGGAAGCAGATGGGGAAGAAAAAAAAAAAAAACAAAACATAACAGAAGGACAAAGAACAACAGACGTGCGGCCACAAAGTGTTAAACGTACAAACAGTTACACCCCAGCACTTAACTATGAGCCTTCAATGAACAGACAACCTTCAAAGAGAGTAAAAGAAACAAAACAGGGGTGACTTTCCAAACAGACTCACATCAGAGATTAACTGGGAGCAGAGGAGAACACAACAATGGCATTTCAACAACAAAAGGGAGTCCTCTTAACCCGCTTCTCCAATGAGCCAAATCCATAAATACCCAGCAGATCCAGAGAAATCTTTTTACTAGGAGGGGAAAAAAACATGTAATGGGAGAATCAGACTCACAGCCTACATAGTGCAAAGCACAGGAGCAACCAGGGATGTGAGTTTGATTTTACTCTGCAAATTCATTGAAATGAAACGAATGAAGATGCGGGAAAAAAACCAGTCTAAGAAGATTTCTGAATTATGGACTTTAAAAAAAAAAGCTGCCTGCATGAGTAGATGTGCATGAGCAGTGTTACAGAAGGTTTGGTACAGAACTAATTACACCTGAATTTTATGTGATCAACAAAACATACAGCTTAATTACAGCAGCAATTAACTTTCCTGGAGCGCCCTACAGTGAACACAACTTCAGCAGTGGCTTGGTGAATCATGGTCAGTCCTTCTGGGTAATGTGCACATCACGCTGAAATTTGGACTCTGATGGGAAGGAATAGCCTGTTCCTTTATGATAAGCAAATGAAGAGGCCTTGTCTTACAGGAAATGAATTTAAAGTTGGTTTTTGTCACTTTTATTCATTAAGGTACAGCAGTGGCTCTTAAAATAACAAGGCTCAAACCTGGAGAAGGTTTTGCAATCACTCTGCCCCTCTCCTAAGTTGAGCCAATTGCTGTTTAACTCTTTTCCACCACATAACAAGCGTCTCTCCAAGCACTCTACTAAAATCCCTGCTGCTGCACAGAATGATAACCAGAACACAGGCTGTTTAGTGTCAGTGGGGCCTCTGTCTCTGGGTTCAGTGAGAACAGGGGCTTTGGAAGGTATTATTTAAGAAGAACAAAGTAAGATGTTCAGGCATAATTTTTTTAAGCAGCCCCCTGCAGCAGAATTCACCCAAAAAAGCAAATTGCTTTTCAAGTTGCTATAGATTCCCAGAGTGGTTGCAACTGGCCTGGGTACAAATGTAGTTGTGGGTGGATCCATTTTTGAGAAGTGTCGCAGCAAGATCTTTGCTAAATCTGACAAGTGAGTGGGGCCTGCAGAATGTGTTTTATTCGCTTTATTAAACGTGGGGTTTAGTTTGTGCCCATTTAACAAACCAGACCTCAGGATTCAGCAATTACAGCCTTTAAGGACACTGATACACAGAAGACCACTGCTTTTCATTTTCAATTTGAAAATGATGCATAGGATGACCAGAATTATTCAGCTCTAGACATAAGAGTCTTCTTCATTTAATCCTGCATGATTGAAGTATTAATCAAATGGAATGCTCCCCCCCAGAGCTTGGGGAAAAACAACCACCAAACCCCAATCTTTCCAGCTGGTGGCTTTGTTTTTCTCCTCTGGTTTGCTGGCAGGATTTCTTGTGTGTTTGAAGTCTAGTTTTATAGTAGGGACTCTTAGTTGCAATTTAATTTAATCAGTCACAGACTAAGAATCCCTAGCCAGGGGAAAAATTACGGTGAATTGTTCTTGCAATTGCCCCAAAGCCCTGGCCCTTGCAGGGAACTAAAGCTTTAGGTGAAGCAAAAAGGTCAAATTTAGTTCTGCACAATGTTGAGCTTCCTGAGAGCTCCTTGCAATGAGAGCCTGCACTTGAAATAGCAAGAGCCCATGAGAGTCCAGGCACAGGAGTGAGGTGGGGATGGCAGGAAATAGGATTTATTTTACTGGACCAACTGCAAGAGCACTGATGAAATGGGAGCTGAGGCAGGGCATGGTCAAGAAGGGCATGAACACAAGAGTTTTGGACTCTCTTACAGCTGTAATTGGGGCAGAGCAAGTGAGGAGGTCACAGACAGCAGAGGAGTTCTAGGTTTCCTAGGAAGACAAAGTGTCTCACTGGCAAGGTGGGAAGGGCAAGGCACTGTCCCCAGCTCACTGACCTGCAGGAGCCTGCCCTCTGAAAAAGCACAGGATGGAACCAAGGAAATCATCTCCTCATCTCACTGTTTTCTTGGTGCCTTCCAGTCTTCACTGGCCCTCCAAGCACTGAAAGCCTAAACTCTTCCAAGTTAATCCTGTTTCGTTCAGTCCCAGTCACAAGCACCAGTTTGGATGTAAAACAGGGACTTTCACAGGCAGGTCTCAGCAGCTGAAGGCCCTTGTGTGACAAACAAAGGGCAAGAGGGACACAAGGCACTGATATTGCTGGAAGAAAACTCCTTTTCTGGTAAACCAGGAACAAGGCTAATGCTACAGGAACAACTGCTTTGATAACTTCATGTAAAATGTGGAAACAGCCCTTTAAACAGCTGACGTGGCCCCAGAGTGACTTACCCAAAACAGCAGAATTGCCATCGCCCAGTGGGAACCTCTGGTACCGGGGAATATTAAAGGGGGGCAAAAGGTAGAACTTCTTCTCCAGAAGAGGCTCGAGGCGTGAAGCAGATGGGTCTGCAGGGTGGAACAGGTTATAGACCTGCTGACAAGCTGGTCTGAGCTGAAAGACTAAAAAGATGAAGAAGAGAAAAAAAAAAAAAAGCCAACTCAAGTATCAAAAGATTATTAGTTAGAATATTGTAAATATCTGTCTGTAAAAAGGACAACTGTTGGGTTAAAGAAAGTGCTAATCAGTGCTTATCATCTCCCTCATCTCACAGTTTGGTCAACTGAAACAATTTATTCAGTACTTATAGACTCAAGAATTGTCCAGTATTTTTAATGGTTGGAAATATTACAAATACTACAGAGAAATGTTTGGATTTAAGCAAATTCCTGCATTTGAGCCCCACCAAGGGAGCTCAGCAGTTTGCACCAGAACTTACTGTCAAGAGCAGGAATTACAGTTTTTCGCAGGGCAAGAACCAGGCCCAAGGGAGAACCAAAGAGGAAGAAGTCTGTGATCTCAAATTCGAACTTCCCAATATTTCCTCCATCCAACATTGTGGAACTACTCGATCGCCTGGAGCTGGGGTCGTTTCTCAGGACACTGGAATGTAAACTGGGACAAGAAAATAAAGTCAAAATTTTGTTCATGCTGTGTTTTCAAAAGTAAAGCCTGGATCAGTGATTGACAGGGAATATAATTTCTCTCTCTTCAGTGAGGGAACTGTGCTAATCAACCCACAGCGATCCCGTTCCACCGGCATCACTGTACAAATCCAAGCTTCAAGTGGGTTCTTTTACACACACTGTCCTCAAAATGTTTCTCTCCTCTGAGGAGTCCAAATCTTGGTTGCTGCTAGTAGGACACTTATTTGCAAGAGAAAATAACCAACAAGCTAAAATTACTAGTGTAGCAGGGAAAAAAGCGGGTTTGCAGCGATTCACTCCATGCCACATGTTACTGCTGTGCTTTCTGACTCTTCCTTCACCTCATTCTCAAATGTTATGGAAAGCTGTGCTCACCCCTTTCTTCCTCATGGAAGTAGTTGGACAAATGCTATTGGACTGAAAATAACAACAAAAAAATAAAAAAAAAGAAAGAAGGGGAAAGAGAAGAAGAAACATCAAATCTGCAGGAGGATTTCTGATACCTTCGTGCATCGAAGTTGCACCACAGATTCCATGTGTGTGGATGGCACTCACTGGGAATGGGAATTTGGGGTAATTCACTCAGTGGCCATGTGGTAAATCATATTTATCCTGCAACCAGGATTCTCCCACTTCTCTTCTGCCCACGAGGCCACATCTGCCAAGTTATAACCAAACTACCTCTCAAACTCAGCCCAACAACTCCAAGTAACTGAATTTAGAAACAATAACTACATAAAACATGTCCAGTTTCCCTTCCCCTCTCTCAGGTTTCAAATCTGTTGCAAAACTCCAACAGTATGTGATCCAGGCTGGGCAATAAGAGATTTAAATTCACATTTCCCTTAGACACTCAGAATAAGCACCAGGAGCTCTTAGATGGATGTGGGAATCCACCCCCACGTTAGGGAGAGTTGCTCCTTTGCAGTCTAGATGTGGAATTGGGAAATGCCAGATGTGTAACACCAATAACCTCGTTCACAAAGCAGTTTCTCAGACTCCTCTGTCACCACCCAAAAGCACTGAGCTGCGATTTCCTTCGCCCTCCAGGTTGTGCAGATTCTGACAGCAGCCAGGCTGGGTTAGCTCATTGTAATTAGAAGCAGAGAGTTGAAGACAAAGCAGCAGCAGTGCCTTAACGGGGAGTTTGCAAACACTTTAAAAAACCATCAGAACAGGTTCTGTAAAATATGTAGGGTAAATGGATATCACAACAGTTGTGCTGGATAAGAGGTTTACTGGCCTGGAATCAGGAACGACACAAATCCAACAGCCTCCTGCCAGCTCTGTGGCCCCAAGTCAAAGCCCCAGGTGGTGACCAGCACTTGCCACGTCCTCACATGCAACAGCCCTTGCTCATCAAGGCCATTGCTGAGGGCAGGGACACCCCAGCTCTGCTGGGCTCACCAGAACTGGGCTCTTCCCTCACCCTGGCACCGGAGCAGTTGCTCACACTCATCCTCTGGGACAGCCAGTCAGGCAATGAGCAGCTGGAAAAAGCTCACACTTTCGGGAAGAAGCGCAGGTTTCACCCAGACTTTGTTTTCCTGCTGTGGCAAATAACGCATCATCCCAGAGACAGCTCCTCTGCCGAACGCCGCTCCCAAGGGATGCCGAAGCGCCGTCTGCTCCTGCTGCGCTGTCACTGTATCCTCTGGAGCTGCACACAGGCACATGCTCGGCTCTCCCACTTCCCAACCACAGGGAGACCGATCAGCTCACTTATGCCAGACGCACGGATCACGGGAAGTCAAAACAGTGATGTCAAAAGCGAGAGGAACAGGGGGGGTTGCAGCAGCGACAGTGAAAATGAGCATGTTCCCGTTTCTGGGATGCAAATGAGCTTCCCTGAGACCGCTGTGCCGACATGCACAACGCTCAAACACGGCTGAAACAAACCACCTTCAGTGGAGCTTAAATTACTTTCGCTAACAAGACTGCAACGCAGCAAGTTTGCTGTGTGTGAGGAATGCAAAGTCACTCAGAACACGGTCAGGTTTGCAGAAGACAAGGCAACAGCACCAGGATTCCAACAGAGGCACAAAGGGAAGACTATTCCGATGGCAGGATGGGTACAAGGTGTCTTTGGTGTGTCCCACCTGGCTTCCCACAGCATGTCTTCGTGAGGAAGGGAAGAACGAGAGCACTTACAGCACTAAGCAATTTGGAGAGTTCTCTCCCTTTGCTGTGAACTTGATAGTCTTTTCAGCAATCAAAAGAAATGAGAGCCAAGGGGAACTCAGAATCTATCAAGCTCCAAACAACCTACAGTGCCCTGTTCTCCCTTTAAAAAGCAGCAGATGTACTGTGTGCATTAATTAAACAAGAGCTTATGGATTTCAGAAGCAAATCAACTCATTTACAATAATACAAGTACAGCACAGCCAGAAATAATGTAGTTGTGCAGAAGGACTGAATTTAAAAATAAATGTGTGATTGTAATCTCCAGATGCTGCTCTGGCTTGCTGGGCATTATCCCAGAGAAGTGGGTAGGTCTGATACATGAATAAAAATGAGTGTCTTTGGCACAGGCTGGAATCTGCAGTGGGTACGGACAGGAAGGTCCCTGTGTGCCAGGCTGCCCGTCTGCTGAGCCCATTAGGGAAGCTTGGCTCTGTTCTGCCAATCTCCTGCCCGAAGCCACGTCACATCAGGGCTTGGGTTTTGTACGGGAAAAATCATTCCCTGGTGACAGAGGCTGACAGGACACTCTGCTGAGGAAGGTGCTGCTCTGTACGGATGGCTGTGAGCACAAGGTCCAGGACTGGTGTGGGACACGCAGGAGGGGCTGAGGTGAATCTCTGCTCTCCCTTCGCTGCACCAGGGAGAGAGCTCACACAGCAGAGCTTCAACCTGCCCTTTTCCCTGAGGGAATCCTGCTCTTGAGCTCTGGGAAGAGACTAGTTTTTAACCCAAGGTCTAAAAGGAGATTTAAAAAGATTTAAATCTCTAAAGAAGGAAAAAGACACCAATCCATCAGCCCACCGAATACCGACAGCTCTTGCCAGGGACCCACAAGTACTTCATGTTGGGAGCAGGCACAACCCTTCAGAGGTGGAACACGAAGGATCAGCACAAAGCAATTTGGAAAATAAAACTGTGCAATCCATTATCCATGTCAGGCCCAGCACTTGTTCTAAAATAGGTGTAAAACTGCATCAAGACGCCAGCTCGCTTCCATTAACTGAGTCCGTGCCCCTGAGGTCAATAACAAGGAGGAGAATGAGCACATTTTTGCACGACTCATATTTTCTCCTGTAACACAGGAGGCTGTTTTGAGAAGGTAAGACCAAGAGCCTGATTGCCTCTCATTAACCTGCTGGAAATAGCCAGGAAGCTTATTGTGGGTTTTGTAAATGCAGCTGTCTCTCCGAATATCGTATCTCTGTGCACCAACAACATTCGCTTTGATACCTTCTCTCTCCTATAAATCATTTACAAAAGGCCCCTGACATGGCAGGACAACACAAATCCCTGTGCTGAAACAGTGGTTCCAAGTAGTGAAGGAGGGGAAAATGCAGGAGAAGCCTCCAGCTCAGCACAAGGAAAAAGGAGCAACCTTGAACAGCTGCAATGCAGGCAGTGTGTTTGCTGTGGGGGGACACTGCTTCCCAATTCCTGGGATGTGGGAGAGGAGGGATTAAGAGGATATTTACTGCAGTTCCTACAGGCCTGCTGGAGGAAAAAGTCTGGGCTGTCCAGTCCCACAGGTCGAAGGAGATGACTCAGTCAGAAAAATCCTCTGGGTTTACAGAAGTAATCCCTGAACAAGCGGTGGCCATGGAAAGGCTGCTATTAAAATTCCATCGGTTATGTTAAGGAATACATTTCTGAGGGTCCATTTGAGGAAGCTTAGGAATGTGATATCAGGGGCGTCAACAGCTGAGTAACAAATCTGAAACCCGTCCTTGGTGCAATGGAGCAGCCCTGGCAGGGGACAGAATAACTCAAAATCAGGCTTCAGAGACGCTTCAAAATCAATCCAGCGCTGGATTCCCAGTTCTGCTTCACCGACTCCGCTCGCACGATTTCTACATTTGCTTTATGACCTCCATCCCACACTCGCAGCATAGCAGAGAAGCAGCTCCCTGACAGCCTTGGCTGCCACACAACAGCATGAAGGGCTTCTTGCCATTGCACTATGGATGCAGTAAAGAGGCTGGATTCTCTCAGTGCCACTCAGCAAGAAAGCTGTTAATTTTTTTTTTTGCATATACAACCCACCAGAATCAATGCCCCTCTAATCTAAATTAAATGTTTTCCTCCACCTTGCTTATCTCAGGGTGACAGAGCAACACTCAGGCTTCACACATGCAGCAGCCTCAGCTCCAGAACACTGCTGGTTCTGTTCCTTCTGAGTCTTAAATCTTACCTTGAGAGAAAGGCTTGATGCTGCTTTATCGTGTCCAGTTCGTAGGTTGATGAATCACTCCTTTTCCGTGGCAGCTGCTTCTTTGGATCTTCTCCGTTGCTACGAGGAATGTCAATGTTGCTCCTGCTGAGGTGTCTGCTGGCTTCCAGATTAGAGCCACCGGAACAATAGCTGTTGTTCACCGTTATTCCAGGAGACAGAAGGTCCGTATCCTGGGATTTGAAATATACGGATCTGGCACTCTGAACAGCTGAATCAGGAATAGACTCACACTACAACCTTCTCCTTCCACCCTCCTTTCCCCATCTACCCCAAGATCCAGCTGAGGACAACACAGTACCTCAGGCTAAACCACCTTCTGTGGGTGTGGGTGCTGCTTCCCACCAGAGGGTGAAACATCCCCGTTCAGAGCCAGCGCACCCAAACTGTGACACGTTTGCCATTGGTAAGGAATCGAGTCTTTGTTTTTTTTGGGGGAAGATCCCTACTGAAAACAGGAGCCCTGGAGGTGCTGTGGCCAGCAGACCTGTCCCAGTAGCCACTGGGTGCCAGCATTACCTGGACACTCACAACGCTTCCTCGCCGGCTGCTGTTCTGGCTCTCGGACACGGTCTGATTGCTGTAGCATAAGGCATCAAATCCCAGGATTCCTCCAACACAGTCCCCTACCAAGCAGACCTGAGAAAGGCGACAAAAGCAGGAGAGGAGAGGGGGGAGAAATAAAAAGGAAATAAAAGAAAAGCACCCCTTGACTTCAGCTCCAAGCTGACAGGTACATGGATGCTGGATTACACCTACACAAGCTGGAGCAACAGAAAAGCCCAGTGCTTTCATTAGGAAAACTACTCATTCAATGAACATCCATCAGAGCCTGCAGACTCCCACTATCTCACACAGCTGATGTGTCCTGGCTGTCCCCACCAGCCAACTGGAACGAAGGGAGAGCAACACAGAGCCCTGATCCCAGGGCTTACTCCAGTCTCAGGAAACCAAAGCTGGATTCCTCCCTTCCCAGATGCCTGTGCTACTTCAGGGAAGCTTCCCTGTGCTTTTGCCCATTAGTATCCTGAGGGGTAACACTGTCCTGCTTCCAAGGGTACTGAGCAGACAGGCACAGTAAAGCACCACTGGGTAGCAGAGGGCTGGTTGGGAAGAAGCTCGGGGTGGATAAATCACACCACAGCAGAGCAATGTGACAGCCAGTTCAATGTCCCTGCCCTCGTGGGGCTGGAGAGTCCCTTTGCTCAGAGGTGGGAAGCTCAGTCATGGTCTTTTATGGGGTGCAGCAGCTACACAGCCTCAAAAAATACCCCCGCTGCTGTGACAGCTCCAGCACGAGCTGCTGAAGGTCCACTCAGGACAGGAATGCTTAAACAGCCTCGGTTTGCAAAGGAGAAGAGACCATGTGTTTGGTAACAAAAGCAGCATTCCTGCTTCAGAAAGGTGTGTCACGCTGAAAATTGATTAACTTCACAGCTTTGTAGCTCCATTTCTGAACACGAACTCAGACTTTGCTTTGAATCCCAAAGGTTTGAGACAGAACATAAGCAATAATCTCTCTCAGAGAGAAAGCAATGGAAAGCACGACACTTTCTTATTGCAGCTCAGCACTGTCATGTTTCCATCCCTCCTGAGAGATTAATGGCAAAGAAAGTTTCAGAAGGAAATTGCTTCTCCTGCTGCTCCCCTCACTGTGCTCACCAACAGCCCCTGGCTCACCTGGCCATTGAATGATGTGCCCTCCTGGGATCTGATGAACTCACTGTAGGCCTGGTTGGCTCTGACAATGACTGTGGCCACTGCTTCTTGGTACTGAGGGGAGGATGTTGCCAACAGAGGGAGTGCAGCGAGGGGAATGTGATCCTGGCTGTTGGACAGGCAGCCTTCATCATAACTGTACGGGCTGAGGCTGCAAAGGCCAAGAGACATTGGAAATACTCAGCCCATCATAAAAGGTGGGGAAAACAATTTGCAGACAGTACAGTCAGTGTTGTGGTTCATTAACAAAAAAAAAAAAAAGCCTCAAGACAGAAAGGCCATTTATTCCTCTGTCAGTGGGTGAGAGCTTAATAAATCTTTCCCTCCCATCAAACGTAAATCTTCAAGGACAACATACTTACACTGGCAGAACAACCCTCAGACAAGGAATTAAATCCTTAGTATTTATTGGATTAATTAGAATAAATCAATCTCAGAACTCGTGCCGCATGATTCCTGTATTCACTGCAGCACAGTATGAAATTGAGACTGAATGCCTCGCTGGTACATTAACAAGTGCATCCTCAAAGCATGGTCACAGCTTTCCATAACACATGCAGAAGACTTCAGGGAAATGAATAAAACAAAACAAACCTCCCCCCTCAAAACAAAAAACCACAAGAAAAAAAAAACCAAAAGCAAGAGTGAAATTGCAGATGTGTCACTCCATGCAACAAAGTAGCATCAGTTTACCTGGACACCAGGGAAAATGCTTCGGAGCAGATGGCCGGGCAGGGGACAAGCTTGATGGCAATGTGGCCAAGAGCAGCTGGGTAATGCACCCTCATCACTGTGTCAAACACTGTCGTGATGGTGTTGACATCCCCTTGCTTGGAGCTCTGGTCACCACTTCCTGAGTCCAGGATGTTCCCTCCGTGCAGCACCAAGAGGAGGACGTGGATTTTACTGGGTTGCATTAATGGCTGCACCGATTCATCCTGGGTGGCGATGGAAGAGACCACAGGGAAAGGCTCATTTCGCAAAGAGGTTTGACTTGTGCCTTATTTCTGGCAAAGGCCATTAAATACACCTGAATACAACCCCTGAGGACCTGACTACTCCTTCCAGGTCTCTTATCCTACCCATGCCCACCCACAAATCCACACACAGCCTCAGGGCAACTGATTGTCTCAAGCAGAAGGAATGCTGGAAGCTTAAAAAAAAAAAAGGCATAAAATTGTATCCAGGTAAAACACGGCAGGAGTGAAGAAATTACTTGTGTGCATCAGGGTGGAAAAATACAGAACTAAGAGATGGGTGTTGCTTTCTGTGGGGTGCTGAGCTCAGCTGCAGCCCTTGGCAGTGGCACACAAAATTAACAAATGAGATCGAACAGGTCAGCAAGTGGCAAGTTACTGAGAAAAGTTGTAGGAAGACCAGTCATGGCATGTTTGCCTGCAACAGAAGTTATAAATAAGACTTCATAGTTGCTTAAACTGGTGCAAAAGAGGAACTGGACAGGCTGCAGCTTGGGGGAAGGAGGGAACTGTATCCAAATTGGGTTCTCATTAAATGATCTGCCAGACCAGCTGTGAGCCCAATCCTGAAGCCCCAGGAGCAGGTATAAGAGCATCCATTTGACATATTACAGCACAGCAGAGCAGTAACTCTTTTTAATATCTATTTGCTGCCAGAGCTTTCAGTGTTTAGAGCTCCCATACAGACTCAAATCCTCCATCCCACACTGAGATATGTGCAAACACTCCTGTGCCTGAGCCCTGTGCTCAGAGACAACACCTGAGAACATCCTGAGCAACTCCCTGCTAAGGCAGAGAAACAGCCACTGGGAGGGGGTGTGGAAGGGGTGAAGGGCAGCTGTATTTCCATTTGGCAAATTCTTCTAATTTTAGCATTCTTAGTCCCTGGCTGTCCTTTGAGCAGTGATTGAGTCCCTCACAATCCCTGCTGGTGGGAGGAAAGCATGCCCAGGCACACATTAGCAACCTAACAACGAGCTTACATTTTTACCAGATAATGTTAAAGCATGTCTTAACACACAGCCCACCAGAAGGACTAAAATTCACATCCAAATCCGTAATAAAGATTTTCCAGACCTCCTGCATAAGAATGGTCATTAATTTCTCAGTGCCATTCCACTGTATTAATGCCTGCTCTTAAAACCTCCTCTGACTCCAGTTTCCAGTGCCTGCACAGTGAACTTTGTACCTGGCTGGAGGCACGGGTGGAGCTCTCCCAGCATCTCAGGCACCTCTTCTGCTTCCAGACAAACTGTTTTAAGTGCTCATTCTGAAAACAACATGAGTCACCAGGCTCAGGGCGTGCAGAACTTTATCAGCACCTTTCCCTTTCAGTTCATTAACCCCTGCCCTTGAAGGGAACAGGGGAACTGCTGATTACTTTACGGGTGGAGGTGACTATTTAGAACTTCCTTGTAAGATCTGGAGCCTCTTAAGATACCCTGAACCACCTTATGGTGAGGAAGCTCTCAACCTGAAAAATCACTGCAATGGTGGCATAGGAATTTCATACCATTTTAGCAGACAGCTTGTGAACAACTACAAATAACTGTCTTTTTCATCTCAGTTTGAAGCCTGTTCTTTTCCTAAAATGAAGGCAGAAACAGGAGGGGGTTGAGTTTGTGCAGCCCTCTGAGGAAGACAAGTTCTCCACACTACCTTGAGCTCCAAGAGAAATTTTAGGGCTGTGACTTGCTTATCTCGAGGCAGCCAGAGCCGCTGCCATCCCAGCCACCCACTCTCCCCGTGGCCCTTGAGCTCTCAGTCTATTATGGAAAAGTCAAATCACCATGAACTTCAAGTCTGGCACAGACAGTAATTTCAAAACCATGCTCATGGTCTTTGAGGGACCACTTAGACACAACGTAGGCACTCTGCAAAGCAGCAACACCACCTCTGCAGCACTGACAGGCAGATGCTTCACGGGCAGGACGACTACAGCTGCTCCTGGATGTCTCACCGATTCTGAATTACAGAAACCTAAATATGCAAGTCTAGAAAGCTGGGGTGGGAGTGTTGTTATTTATTATTTTACCCAAGCACTGACACAGGCTGTGCTGTAACTGGCTTCCAAACAAGACCCTGAGCAGCTCCACATCATCGTGGGCTGCAGCCGAGCGGTGTCCCCTGCCCCTTGGTGCTGCAGGAACATGTTCTCCCACTCCCATCACCAACCAGCATGACCTCTACCCAGCAGTGCCTCAGGCCACACTTATCCTCACAGGATTAGTAGTTTTTTCCAGCTGAAGCTGCCTGCAAACTACAGAGAATTTTCTACATGATGTTCAAAAGGTGGGTGAAATAGTCCCTTAAATCCGAAGCACGCGGGTGCCGGTGCAGCTCAGCAGCACACGGAGACAAAATGTCACTCACAGAAACGAGTCTTAAATGTTTACCCCCGTTTATCCCATACAGACATAACTCCAGCAACAAAGGATCTCACTCCAAGAAACCAAAGCACTTACTTCGATGATGCTGAGCCTCTCCACGCTGGAGCCAACGTGGTACTCTGCTGATGTCTCCTGGTACAAGTCACCTGCAAGCAGAGGTGTAAAATGTCAGCGCTGACACTCTTCCATAAAGACACTCTTTGTTCCAATGCCTCTCAGCCTCTTCTGCCTCACATCTCCTTCATTATTTCACCAAACTGCCCTCTCCCTCCCTCTTGCCTCCTTCCACCTGAGAAGCCTGGGCAACGCCGGGTCATTTATTTCCCAGCAATTTCTCCTAACCTCGGTAAGAGCTGAAGACATTAGCGAGCTCTTCTCTCATTACAGCGATCCGGTATCGCTGCTTTATTAAGGATGGCAACAATGGGAAATCCCTGCACAATTGTCAGAAATGACTGGCTTTTTGGAAAAGAAAAGGAATTGTTTGAGCTGTGCTGGGGAGCAGAGATTTGATGTGTTCCTACGTCTGTGCCTACACAGACTGACTTTGTACCAGTGTCATCTTCCACCGTGCTGCCACATGAATCGCTCTGGCTGAGGAGCTGCAGCTTCCTTTCACCATTTCATAATGATGAGCAGAAAATAAAACCCAGGCAGATGTGGTCAAGAACAAAGGATGGAGCAAAAGGAAAGAAGAGTCAGGAGAAATTCAAGTCATTTGAGACAGAGCTGGAATATTTCATCATTACAGGAGAGAATCCTGACTGTCACACAAAGGAGCCAACGAGGAAAATAAAAGAGAATCAAGAGCTATCCCAGCTCCCACTGAGCAATTCTTTTTCAGCAGCACTGGGCAGTCGTTTTTATGCTCTGTCTCCGCTTTTGTGATATGAGGATAACAAGTTTTACCTTGCTCAGGATGTGGCTGTAACAATCGCCGGGAAATACTGTAAAATAGCACATGCAGTTTGTACTTTAAAAAAATTACCCTGGACATCATCGCATTCGGGGGTTTCAATTTTATCCATCAGATCATTGGAACTCCATTTGGTTATTTCTTTCGGGAACATTTCCTCATTGTCAGACAAGTCCTCTTTAAAAAACAGATTTTTTGAGAGTCACACACACAAAAATATGTACACAGACAAAAATACAGAACAGAGTTTTAAATAAAACTAAGGCCCTATAGCTCTATGTTATCTATAAACATTTGGATGGCTTAAGTCATAATAAACCACAACACTTTACCAGCTTTTGTTACATAGAAACCAAGTAAACAAAATGTTTTAGTTGCATGTTTCTAACAAACAAAACTCCTAAAGCATGGACAAAATAACATGGGTTTTTAGTGCTACCACCTCGGGCACCAAGTTTGACCTTTCTTGTCATTCTTTCTGAGGGTGCTAAAGCAGCCACAATGCTCCTGTACAGGACAAAGCAAGGTTTGCCACTGGGATCCTCCCAGAGCTGTTTGAGAGCTCTGGGATGTCTTTGGGGGCAGCAGGGACAAAGATCACTGTTGTTAACAGGATCAAACACCTAAAAAGGCAGGAGCGATGAAGGAAATGTGAACTCCCCAGGCTGATTTGCTCAGGAGATGAGACTTGTTTGGTCACACTGAGTACACATATCTGCCATTTCCCTCCTACTTCAGGATCTTCTCAATCCCCTGGCTCAGTTCAACTGCAGCTGATAAAAAATAAGGGTCCTAAAAATATTATGTTCCCAGAAGTGTAATTAAAATGACCATGTAATACAAAGGAGACACTCTCTCTTTTCCTTTTATTCCACTGAGGATGTATCTCTTACTGTTACAAAGGTTAAGTGCTTTCTAATTTATTTATTGTTCTGTGCTTAGTATTTCTTTCCTGAAAATTCTGAGCTTGTAAATTTAATAAAGAGTTATAAATGTAATAACAGCAGTAATTACAGATGTCTTGCAGATCTAAAAGCTGTAATCTTCAGAGGCCCAGACTAGGATTTCCCCTTTCTTACTGCTCTACACTTAGTAAAATAATTAGTTGGAAAAATCCTACAATGGGGAACCAAAAGATTATGAAATATACTCATCTTTTCAGCAAATCTGAGTAATAGCTTAAAAACCAAATTATATGAAGGGGACTTAATGCAGATCCAAGCAAAGGCCGATTATTTTTAGGAGTTTCTATTTCAACTTTGACCATAAAAAGAGAGCAACCTGGAAATTTTGCATCAGCATGCCATTTCCTTTTTCAGCTATGGAAAAAAATCTGAGTAAATTCCAATTCCCCTGCACAAGGGAGCGTGGAGCTACCTGTCCAGAGCAACTGGAAAGCGAGTGCTTTCTCACGTGCTGGCAGAGAATGAAAAGGACAATTGTACTCAAAGCAACTTCATCTAAATATTAAACTTAATTCCTTGAGAGGTTTAATTACAGCCCTTACTGCTGCTCAAGTGATCCCTGAATGGGATATTACTCCCGTTATTAGCATTTATTACAGGATAGATATTCGATATTACTGCACTTGTCACTATCTTTACCAGAGCGCGCCAGTGAATGAGGATGAGTGGGAAGCTGGAGACAAGGAATCTTCTGGGGCTCGGGTTACGCCCACTGCACTGTGAGGAAATGTGTGTATGGGAAGCACTTCAGAGGAACCCTGCTCGGTGTTGACTCACATCCTGATCCGTGCCAGTTCCCATGGCACCGACCCCGCAGGATGAGCTGCAAGCGGAGCTTCATCCCTGTTCTCAGACCCGGAGCTGGGACGTGTCGTCTGCAGGCCAAAGGGGCACCAAGAGATCCCCCCCAGGGACAGGGCTGTGTTCAACTGCACACACATCAATAGCCTTTGACTCCTAAACCAAAATCCCACCAGATTTGGGCACAGTTTTCAACCCAACTGTGGGGACTGCAGAGGACAAACTGTACGTACCCCGAGACTCGCTGTTGCAGGAGAGGAGCTGCTTCTACTCTTACCAAGCTCCTAGAAGTATTGCAACAGAGGTGCAAGAGGCTCATTTTTGTTAATCCCCCCTCCCAGGCCTGTTAGGAGCATGCCAGGGATTCCCTGGGGCTCTGGATCCCAGGCCGAGCCATCTCCATCTCAGTTCTATTACTGAGTAATTAAAGAGGCAAAAAGCAGTGGATAGCAAGGATGCCGTTTCCATGACTCACTCCTCTTCTCCTGCACGTATATGGCTACCATAAACCCCTTACATACTTTGTGTGAATGCTACATAAGTTAATAAATAGAGACAGGTAAACTAAGTTGGCCCTTCTCCTTCCAGGCAAGAGACACACGTTCACCCCCTGACTTACACGTGTCCCAACCATTTCAGCTGCTGCTGTACAAGTCACTACACTAACATGCCACTTCCCACCCCAGAATTTGAGACCTGTGCCTCAATACTGATGGGAGAGCTCTTCTGGAACACAACGCTATCGATTTTTGGAGACTGAACTTTAGCTGAACACCAGCGAAATTGAGCTTTACAGAACTGGGGCGTCATCTTCTAACAACTGCACTTCACAGAAAGGTCACCAACTTCATCAGCGCATATTGCACATCTCACTTCCATCAGACAAGCTGGGAGAAGAGTCCATCTGTTGCCAGTAGAGATGGAGCCCTTCATGCTTAAATTTGCATTAAGTACAATACACGAGAAGAGTGCAGCAGAACAAAGCTCCTCCACACACACGTTACAGATTAAAAACAAATAACACAGCTTTCTCTTAATACAGATAATCAAAATCACTTTGAGGGTTCTGGTATCAACACTGATTAATTTTGGCACCTGAAGTACCTCGCTGCATTCACTATTGTATTTCTTGGAACGTGAGAATAAGGAGTTAATAAAGGCAAATTTGGGTTTCTTCAGGTCCAGACAGGCCGATTAATCATACCTCTTACTGATTAAAAAACAAATTAGAAAAATAATCAGTCTCAGTGAATCATTAGGACACACCCACAGCGCAGTTACTTTTTACCCACACTCATTTGCACAACATAAAATACAGCTCCAAAGGCTATGACTGTTCAAGATCCCTTCAAACACATCAGAATCTGAAATGTTGCTGTGTTAAATGTAAGAGTCTGCTGGGTGATGCTGGAAGAAGCTGCACCGTGTCGTGGTGAGAAAGGAAAAGACTTCAAAGCAGAAAAGTCTCGCTTCCTTCCCTGCTCACCCCCCACCCTCGTGCCTTCCGCTCCCTTACCCCACCATTTCAGGGGAGAAGCGACGGTGACTGAGGCTCCACGTACCATGTGCATCAAAGAATTCATCATCTGAGCTGTCATCTGAATCCCTGGCAATGCTCTGCATCCTCCACTCGGAGATACTATGGCGCGAGGGGCTTGCTGGAAAAAACAGGAAAGCCTGATGCGAAACGCTACAGCGGCAACGCGGAGAGTTCCCAACATGATCTTTGCTGGAGGGAGAATCGTGTGTTCTCTGTGAAAATTCCCTGCTGCAATATTAAAAACCCCAAACCCTGATGATGCTGGTGTGATGTCAGTGTGCCGCTTTACAGATCCTGTCTGTTTACTGTTGTTAGAACCTGCCAGCAAGATGCTACATTAAAGCAAGCTGCTGCTTGGATCACTCTTCTGCTATTTTGAATGGCAGCTATTTATAATTGTTAGTAGGACGTGCAAAATCAGCTGGGTTTTAAAGTTTGCAATTAGGGAAGGAAGCAGGCTGATTGGAGGCTTTCTCTGTGCCTCTCATCAGCACACAGACCGTGCCTCTGCTTCGCTAACTTTCGGGTGGGTAACTGAGCAGAGCAGCCTGGAGAGAAATAATCTGTTTTCTGGAAGGAAATTGCTTCCACACAAATTGGATTAGAGATCTATTTAAACTTTAAACTTGAATGATTTAAACAACATGCCATCCAACTACTTCATCGGGAGCTGTCGGAGCAGGGTCCTGACAGAGCAAGGAGAAACCCAACAGTCCATTGGGTGCTGTTTGCCCTCCTGTTCTCACACCTACCTGCTCCCTTTCACTCTCCCCTCCAGAGTTCCCTGTGCTAAATATAATCATGTTATTGCTTTTTTATTTTATTTTTTTTTCAGATATAATTTAGCAACAATCCAGCCTGAGCTCTTCTGGGCTGAACTTGTCATAGATCGGCCGCCTGCTGAAGGGAGCACCGTCCAGAGAACGATGGGAGAGAGGGTTTCTCCCCTCGTGCCTGTCAAACAGCGCACACAAAGCCCTTGCAGCAGCCACCTAACCCAGCAAAAACCTGAGGAGACTGACAAATTCTCATTTAGCATATTCAAGACGTGGAAAGGCTCCGGTGACTGTGACAGCTGCACGAGCCCTTTCACGCTATTGTTCCAACAGCGTTAAATATACAACCAAAATTCTTCTGATTTTTTTTTTGTCTGGTTGTCAGATGGAAAGAGGAGGGAGACCCTGTGCAGAGTCATCTAATTGCAGCTCAGCAGCCCCCAGCACCCAACCGCCCACCCCTCGGGGAGCAGCGAGGAGGAGGCTGGCAGAGCAGAGCTAATTCACGCCGGAGTGACGTCAAGGCACTCGCATAATGGTTGCTAAAAATAGAGCATATAATAACATATGGAATGGTGACAAGGGTCCTGCTATCAGAGGTCTCACTCGGGTGGTAGGGAAAGGACTGAGATCTTCGGGAGAAAAGGCATTTTTTTTTCAGCTGGAGGTGGCGGCACGTCGCGACAGCCCTCCTTGCTTCCATATGGTAATATAGTGCCAGCATGGAGGAGGATTAAAATATCTCCGTGACGTACTTCCCAGCACATCACAATTAATTTCTTTCATTACTTTTTCTTGTAAAAGCTGAGACATTCTGCAATTGAAAAAGAAATTCATGCTTTGCTCCCACTGAAAACCTACGAGTGAAATCTTGAGAGGTCTGAAAACTCCAGCTCCCAGTGAACATGGCAGCAGTGGAAAAGGGGGTTTGTACAAAGAGCATAATGGGAGATGGGTGCATCAATATCAAATCCTGGTGGAGGCAAAGTAGCCAGCATTTTTATCTTTATGCAGTGATTTATGAAGCATCTGGTAGGTTCTTCCCTGGGGCTCACTCGAGTGAGTCATCGCAAGGTAAAACTACTGCTCCTCTCTCATTCACCCCGTGATGAAATCAGTGATGGAGTGGGAAATAAAAATGGAGACTCAACTCACAATATTTAGTGCATATGAGAGATGGAGAAGCTTCACTCACCCAAATGTTCCCTTCCACCGTCACTGGAAGAAATTCTGCCCCTTGGGGCTTTCAGAAAAATCAAGACTTTTGTTTTTCCCTCTTGCAGGGAGAGCTGCTGTAACTCTGCTAACCAGTTGTGCTTGACTAAAAGGAGAGGGAATTGCTGAGGGTTCAAACCTTCTGGCTGTAACTCCCTGGGGATTCACCCCTTTGTACAGAACAGCCTGAGCAAGGGAAGAGTTCAGTACAGCAAAACAAGGTGACTGCCAAGGGAGAGGGGAGGGACAAAATCCAGGGCTCAAAGCTGAGTCCTTACAGGGCATCCACAGGGGAGCCTTAACATCAAAATCCTGAAATCTCCCTGAATGGTGTTTCAAAGGGAATATAACTGTGATCCATGGTCCCACCTAATCCCAGAGTGAGGTATCATCTCCAAACAGCTACTGCACATCATCACCAGAGGAAAGCAGCAGCCCCCACCCACCTTTTGGGGTTCCTGTCTCCATCTCCCCAGTAGCTGAAGAGGTGCTTTGCTGTGGGAGCTACACTGCAGCACCCACGGAGCCCAACATCCTTCTGAAGGGAACCAATAACCCCGGCCAAGGAGCACAGGTGCCTGCAGACAAGCAGATATCCAGGAGGGAGCACCACTGAAGGGCCTTGTGGCTCACAGGTAGCAAGAACTTTCTCCCTCTGTGCTGCTGGCTTGTCTTCTGACACTCCACGCTGCCAGCCAGCTCCTGCCTGCTCCTCTGTGGTGCTTTCATAGTTTCTCTGCTTTTGACATTGGCAAGAACTCTGCCACGTGACACTGAGTCACAGTTATGGGATGCCATTCTCAGACCCAAAACAAGCCACCTGAGAAGACTGAGCCTGTGACACCAGCAGAGAAGGTCCCTGAGTTATCAGCACCCACAGGAGAAATACCCATTGTCCCAAAGGTACCTGACACAGGGAGACACCGTCTGACTTCCCCAAAGCCCAACCTCCACGCAGTTCAGAAGAGCAAGTCACCTTACCTCCCCTCTTTGAAGACCGTGAGGACTTGGAAGAGGTTGACCACTGCTTGGTGAGCGACCTCCCAGAGGCTGGCTCGCTGTTGGCAGCAGAATCCTCAGTGTCAGCAGGATGAAACTGTGTTGGCTTCCACCTCCTTCTCCCCAGGGGTGTCCTTGACACCGTGCTGCTCGGGGTCACTTTCGCTGCAGAACTGGGCCATCTTCTGGGCCAGCATCAGCTGGGCCTCCTTCTCCAGCCGCCGGATGTCCTCGATGGTGAGCCCGTACCACTCGTCCTGCCAGCACCACGCCTGCCGGTGGGCTCGCACCATCACCTTCCGCAGGCCTGCAAAGCCAAACACCCCCGTCACCAGGGCTGCCAACTGCAGGGTTCAAGGTGTGCCCTTCCCAAAACCTCAGGATATTACAGTGACATCAAACCCACAGCGCTGCAGTGAAGGACCTTCCCACAGTCAGAGTGGCAAACCCGTCACTTTGTGTGCTTTTATCTCCTGAATTCTTGCTGACCAACCATGCACTGAGAAATCAGCCAAGTCTTCTGTGACTGTTTTTAACTAGGGAAGGGATTTCCTAATTCTGGATGGAGGACTTTGTCCTCCTGTGAGTGTCTGCTTCATCAAGCAGGAGCCACACACAGACCGTAATTGCAGCCCCCTGAATTTCTGGCAAGTTGTAACATTTAGATCCAACCTTTAAAGGCAAGTATGTTCCCAGGAAAAAAAAAAAAAAAAAAAAAAATGCCAACATCAACAACAAAAACCCACTGATTGTGTTGGTTTTTTTTAATCCAGAAGAGTTTCGAGTCATTCCTTGATGAACACTACCCAGCCCACTCCAATTGTTACATGACTGAAGCACATCCCACACCAGTAGTGCTAAGCCTAAAACCTTCTCTTTCCTTGGAAACCTGGTTTCTGCACCTGATTTCTACATATCAGTGAAACAGCATTACAAATATGAGCTTCTGAGATAATGGGATAGAAAGCAAAGTAAGGGAGAGAATAAAGATGCTTTATTTTGCAGATACCATCTGTCTTCTGAGAGAAACGGAGCGGCCAAAGCCAATTTAAAATATTTCAATGTATCGCATATCTGAAAGGAAGAAATGCCTCAGTATCAACACACAATGCACCAGGCAACAGATACTTTCCTCAAGACTCAGACTCACTGGTAAACATCATAATACCACTGAGACTTTTAAAACATTATAGTCACTTAGGATTTTCACCAATATTAGTCCCTAAAAGCTCACGACAGGTCAAAGCTCCAGACTGTTATTTACTGTAGCACACAGCAGTGATGGTGCTTTAAAAGCTTCTGTAAATACTGACCAATACTGACCATATTGATCTTCAGGAGCCCTTCTGAAAATAAATACTCAATTGGTATCGTTTCCCACTTTAATTACTGGGAAACTGAGGCAGAGATGGGCTGAAGGACATGCCAAAAGGAGCAGTGGGATTTGCTGTCAGTGGGATTATGGTACTACGATCACTTTGGGCTACCTTGAAACCATTTAGGTTTTGGGAGCTGCAGATCAAGCTCCCTAAGCACCACCATGAGGAAACACTTCCCTCTTAAGCCACCCTCCACCTCCAGGAGCATGGCCAAAGTGGGATGGTCCCACTTTGTGCAGGGTTTCTGAGGTGTTTCCAGCAACATCTGCTCCACTATTGTACAAAAAAACCTTAGATCTCATTACTGTCACAGTTTCTATGATGTTCAGCCTAAATACCCCTTTTGAGGTTTGTTTGTTTGTGTTCTTGTTTGGGTTTTTTGTTTGATTGATTTTTTAAACAAACAAGGAGTGTATTTTTGTATGTTTATCTCCTTCCAGATCTGAGCACTTCATCGTCTGCTCTGCTCTTTGGTCAGTTCTTAATGCCACCAGCCCTCCCAAGCCAAGCTATCAGGAGGAAATGGCTTCTGAGATCAGCACTAATGTCATGGACCAGCGAAACCCGAACTTCATTTGCACAGTAAGATTAAATTTATCAATATTTGATGCATTTCTCTGCCTGACTTTCAGAAGGGAGCTCCCTGTGGGAGAGGGAAGTACGAGCCGGCAGACTGCGACCTTCTAGGGGCAGAACAAGCAACTTAATTGTGTTCAGACTTAGTCGAGATTCAGAGTTATTTCCCATATCAGATTACTTTCTGCAGAACTACAGGAGGATGTTTCGGCCTCTTCACCTCCCGTTATGATTGGCAACCAGCAGAGCTTAACGACGAAGATTAAACTCCCATCACACCCACACCGAGAGCCAAGGAAACGTTTCTCTCCCTCTAATTCAGTCCCCAACACCACAACCATCCTTTGGATTTCCACATCCAAAATGTCCACTTCAGCCTTGCTTGGAACAGCTTGAAAACAGACTGTGATCAGACACAGAAGTGAACGACGTCCCCCTTGCTCTCATCCCAAGGTTTCCTCTGTTCAAGGGCTCAGCAGGATCCGCTCACGCTCCCGGATTCAGCCTTGATCTACCAGTGCACCAACTCCTCAGAAATTCTCTGTGTAGAGGCACAGATGCCACCGACCACATACCTGTGTTTTAATGGACTAACATCACAGGGAACATGAAAACCACTTGGGGGTAAAGAAAAAGTCTCTTGAAGTTCCCTCTCTGCCTCCTCAGATCTCAAAAAATTGCCTGGACTGCTTCCTGCCAACCCCCAGACCTCCCTGTGTGCCCTGCTCACACTGCTTTGATTAGACATCCCAAATCATCCCTCCTTAAAACCTCGTTCCTTTGAAAACAGGATGGCACTACAGGGTTTCACAGCGGTTGTGTCTCTACCCCTCCAGGTTAGTTATGAAGTCAAAAAGACAAGATTACTTTCCCAGCCTGTGGCCTTCAGTGGGATGGGCCATTTCTCTTCCCCAAACGCGGGGAGAAAACCTGGAGGAGAATGAGGTCGTGCAGGTAACAAAAGAAATGGAAAAATAAAAAGTCGTGGCTTGGAGAGAAAGTCTTCAGTGCTAGGGGAGAGAAGTTGAGCAGCTCCTCCGTGCACAGCAGTGAGAATATCACTGATTTCCCCGCTCAGCCTCAGCTTCCAGCAGGCAGGAGGGACACAGGAGGGACACTGAGGGCCCCACACAGCTATAGGAGTTCAGGAACCAGCTATTAATGACTGACCTAACTCGTCCAGACACTGCTTCCCTCCCTGTGCAATGGAAGAAATCAAGTCCTAGAGAATTTTTGCATTTTTGTAGCTTTTGTTTAAAAAAAAAAGAAAACCACCCAAACAAACAAGAAAAGCACACATGCACAAACATTCATATGCAGATTGATTTCAGAGTACCCGTCACTGTACATTGATTTAATTATAACATTTCCCACCGCTCTGTGGAGGAAGATCATCTGTGAAGAGTTGAGGAGGGTGCAAACATGTAAATCACTTGGCTTTCAGCTCACCACCTCAGAAGCTGGTTGCAAACATGAGGTGTTGACTCCTGTAAATGATTTGTGGCGTTGAACTTCATCATACGAAAGGAAGCTGCAAATGACCATGAGACAAGCCAGGATAGAGAGGAGTCTTCATCTGAATTTAAAAAGCTTTAGTCTGTAGTTCTGGGTTTGCTTTTCAACATGAAGTAAAAATAGTAAATGTAACAAAAACTCCATGCAAAAAAACCCTCAAATAAATCAGAAAACCCACTAACAAATCCTGCTCCAAACCACCTCGATATCCACATAAAGCAACTGTTCAGATATCCACTGATTCTGTACCCAGTGGCAACATCCCAAAGCGTTTTATAACACACTTTCGCAGTTTCCTGGCAGCAAATAAAGGATGCCTGATTCTCCCTGTGCGACATCATTTCCCTGACAGTCACAACAGATCCCATAACCTTGTCAGTAGGTTCTGGTTGTCCGAATGCACCCCATCAAAGGCCACCTGCAGTCACCTCTTTGCTTCCCTGCCCTCTCTTGCTCAGGCCCATCACAAAGAACAGCCTGTGGTCACATCCACATTATTCCAACTGCAACCTGCCTCCCCTTGGCAAGATAAAACTCTACCTTTGGGCTCCAACAGGCAGCGGGTGAACTTAGTCATTCGAGTGCTTCGGTGAAGCAAAAGTTCTGCAAAAGTGCTTTCTAAAACCACTTCACCACCGTGCAGCAATTTGGGCATATTTAGCCTAAGACACAGTGGCTTAGACAAAGCTCCAGTTACTGGGATGGAACACACTTTGCCACAGTATATAATTAATAACCCATACACAGTCAACACACTTGTTTAACAACAAAAGACTCAGAGCCCACGTGCACCATTAGGAAGCAAGTGGGAGCAGAACATTATGCAGTGTCAGTCCAATTAAACTTAAAATCTATGGGAAAGGAGTAAAAAAGCATACAAATATTACAGCCAAGTAGACTAATAGCCCACAATCACAATTTTAGTCTGTGTCTCAGGCTGTCAAAGCACTGAGTAACTGTCCAATTAGTCATGGGAAAGAATGGCTGTTGCACTCTGCGACTGAGAACGTTTCAACACCATCCCCCAGAGTTACTCCCTCTGTGCTCAGCAGCCTTTCCACATTGTACAATCCATCCATCACTTACCTCAGGCCCGTTCTTTTTTCAACCCATTCTCTAATTTTAGTTTGCACCACTCAGTACTGCTCCCCTCCTCGGGCAGAGTTTGGATCCTGCTGTTTGTTTCTGCCTCTGTTCTCTTGCCGGCTTGGTGGCCCCACACAGAGCTGGCTGATTCTCCAAGAAATAAATCTGCAGGGCTTGGGAACAGAGGAACCAGCAGGAAAATGCCAAGGAAGGAGGGGTTGACCCACCAGAACGTCTCTGGCTTCTGGGAGCTTGGTCCACCATCAGCTGTACAAGGCACAAATGTCTCCATCTGCTTTTGGTCACCAGCTGAAAGCCCCAAAAGGGATCAGCACCTAAGCCTGGTCAGTCCTGTTGTAGCCACATCCTTCCAACTCAAACATCCTCATACCTTGCTGGCTGTGCTACAAATGCTGTGGCACTTTGCCCACTCACTAATGGCTTCCCCACGGCTCTCCCAGGGCAGAGGAGGCCACGCAGCTCCCGTAGATACCCAAAGCTTTTGCTTTCACTTTTCACTCACTCTACTTTTGTCTTGCCTTAAAGGCTTTTCTGATTTTATGCATCTTAACCACTTTGAAAAACAGTATTTGCCATCATTATAACAGAGTGGAAAAGCTTTTGAAAGGCAGACAATGAGCTGGTTCGGCTCTCTGCAAAACCTCAATCAAGAGGGAAATGGCAGGCAATCTTTCACAGAATACAAAAGAAATGTTTCTAAGGGACCACAGTTTAATCTATGCCAAACACCTCTGAACAACTGGAAGAGTCACGTGCTGCTTCTCCATTTAACAGATACAATGGAGTTGTTATTCTGCCCCCGTGTTTTCCAGCATACACTAAATTAACCCGTGCCACCGAAACGCCCAGGGAGCTCATTGCAGAGAGGCACTTGTAATGCAGCCTTACAGCAGGTAAAACTCCCATCTGTGGGTAAAGGAAAAGCAAAGGAGCTTCAAGGAAACAACCTGTGAGCATTCAGAGAGAGGTGCTCACTATTCTGCACTGCTCTATCAATGTTTTCCACATTAGCTCTCAGGAGCACGGTACGACTGTAAAGAGCTGTAAAATTAACTTATGCTACGCTCAGGCACTTCATGGAAGATTTGCTTATCAGAAGGAGAGTTGTAGAGGTCAGGATTTACTGTGCACAGAAAGCAGGAGGATTTACTGTGCACAAAAAGCAGGTACCATCCTCTACACAGCCCTTCCTCGGCTTTCTCTTTGCCAGAGCACAGCCACAGCTCTGCCCTCTTTTTTTTTAATTTTTTTTTTTTCCCCCGAGATGGAAATGCTTCTTTAACACACTCTTTAGAAGGTTTTTCACCTGGCCAGGCTCAGAAACTGTATCAGCTGTGTTACAGATTTTCTGCAAAGAACAAATTACTGCCAGCACTGCCACCATTCAGTCACTACACAACCAATTCCTCCCTAAAAGCCCTGACCTAAGAATGATGGATCCTTCAAAGCAACACATTTACTCACATCTCAGAGCTCTCAGTGACCCAGCACAGGTAACAGCACAGTGATGTGCAGGGCCCTGAACATCCCAGAGATGTCTGGCCACATAGAGACCCCAGAGCCCTGTCACAAGGCAGGTAGAAATGAGGGATGCTCCAGGGAGAGGTTTTCTGGAACCACTCAGGTCTCAGGAGTGAAGCTTATTTCTTTAGGCAGCCCTTCAGGATGGATTTTGGTCACAACAAAGAAAACTGGCAGATTTTGAAAATGATCTGGCAAGTTTAACAGACAAATCCTTATCTAAAAAAAAAAAAAAAAAAAAAAGAAAGAATGCAAGATCTTGCCTACACAAAACTTGAAGCTCTTTCAGTGGGTACACGTGCTTTGGGTTTGTACATACCACGATTGAAAGGGATAGAATAACAGGGTTTTTTTCTGAGCTGACACACAGAGTCATCAGATCTGAGACTCTCACAGACATGTCTCAGGATATGATGCATTGCACACACCTCACCTCTGTGTTCTGATTCAGAAACAACATCAAGGAGCTGACAGTGAACCCTGAGGGACTACAAATGCTCACCAACATCGTGGATAAACCGCTCGATCTTTGACTGCATCCCCCAGTATCTGAACTCCACTTTACACAGTTTGTATGCACACATGATGGGGTATTTCCCAGGGTTGTTCTTGTACTCCTGAATCCAATCTTCTGAGAGGGGCCCTCTTTTAGTCTTCACTGATTTATACAGCTTTGGATCCTCCTCAGCTTTGTATTCATGTGGAGGGATGGGATCCTTAACAATATCAATAGGATCTGTAGAAAGAGAATGGAAACAGTAAGATGTTTTCTATTCCTCAAGAAAAGAAGAAAACATCATTTCTCATGAGTTATCTCTGTTTTACCAAGTCCCAGAAGCATTACAGCAATTTAGATTCTTTTTCCTTACACTTAAACAAGTGATATTTTAATTGTTTATACACTGCTGCTGGGCAGAGATCAGCTCTGCCAGAGGAACGAGCACACACAGTTCCTGCAAACAGAGGCTTTGCTCCAAATCGATGTTTCTGCCCACAGTGGCTGCAGATCCACTCTGGCAGCTCTGCACGCTCCGTCTTTCCAGCTCCATAAAGATCTGCTGCACATTCCATCTTTCAGCTTTTCTAGTATCACTCCCAGTGCTCCAGCTGCCTCATCCAAGGCAGTTAAATACACCTGCCCTGCTATGGAATAGGCACTACCCACGGAATATCCATCAAATGAGGGTGCTGGAAACTCCTCACCCGCTATTCTTAGACCAGATGTACCGAGGAAGGCAGAAAGTTTAAGTCCCAATTATCAACCTAACAATGGAAAAGTAGAAACTGGGAGTGCAGTGAATGAACACAGTTTAACGATCTGCAACCCCCACCCCAGAGCTCAGCAGAAGCATCTGAAGTTTGGATTGAAGGGCAGGATCGCACTTCCCAAGGAATGACAGCTCTGCTGACACCTCTCAGGGAGGCAGCATGACTCGAGCCTGTTTGTTCAGCACTGCAAGCCTGATCAGACAGGCTCTGGAATGGGGCCAGTCTACAAAACAAGGGGTTTAAATCATGTAACACTCCAATGAAACTGCTCAGGGTTATGGCCCTGTCCCACCACGGCTCCAGCAGCTCCACAGCCTCAGGATGTCCCTTCCCAGGGCTGCCAGGACTCAGCTCCAGCTTAACACTTCTCCAGCCTCAGCAGATCCAGAGCAAGGGATGTTTCAATCCCAGGGACACTCCAGTCCTGCGTGGCTGTCACTGCCAGCACTCTGTGTCACACAGCCCAGTCTCCAGGGGCATTGGACCAGGATGGAATGGCAGGACAGAGGAATTGCTACAACACTTGTCATTCTCTGCCTTTTTATGATGTTCATTTTTCCCTTTTCTCATAAAATCCTTACATTAACTCAATCTTCTAAAGCCAGCTCAGAAGCTGAGTAATAACCTGCATGAGGACAAGACTAAAAGGAGAGGGAGCAAAAATGAAATGCACCTTCCTGCTTCAAAAGTGCAGACAGGAATCATTTCCATATCCACAAGGGAGCCTCACAAGTATACAGCAATATTTTTACAATTATACAGCAATATTTTCCTCTTCTTTGGTTATTTCTACTTATTATCCCCAAATTTATTAGATGCCTTACTCTCTGGAGCTGCATAAATAAGATGAAAAATGCATCAGCTCCAATTTACAGACAGGGGATTCAAATTATTTCCATGGGATTTACATCAAGCCTAGAAGAGAACCCAGGTGTCCTCACTTTACTTGATGTAACCCTCCCCACAGTGACACCACAGGGGTGCAGGTTTGTGCTCAGCAGGATGGCAAGGCAGACAGGACACACCAAGCCAAAAACCAACCAAACAAACAAACAAAAAAGGCAGAATGAAAGAAAAAGTAAAGCAAAAAGGCTGTTCACCTAAAATAGTTTGCCTTTTTTCTGCAGGAGAAAGGTTGAACACGTTGCCGTGGTCTCCTGGATCGGTTTTGTAGTACGTCTCAATATCGATAGAGAACTTCTCCACGAAAGGACACGTGTACCTGAAAGCCAGAACAACAGCTCAGAGCAAATCAGCCTCAAATCCCAGCCAGCCTTCACTCATCTTTTACCTCAGATAGGCTTAAAATACCGACTGGACAGATTAAAGAGATTGTTCTTTAATAACTCCTTAAGACCGGAGCTCGCCGGTTTTCAGCGAGGAGATAAATTTTGGGCCCACTGTACTAAAAAGTGATGTTATGAAATACATACTAATACAAGGACACCCTGGAAATGCTCCTGTGCAAGGAGAAAAGCAGAGCTCCTGTCTGAAATCTATAGCAGAGTAAAATATGGGCTGGTTCTGTGCAGCACAGGTTTCCTGGTCAACTGATTGACTCATGAGCATTTCAAGGGAAGAGATAAAAACTGACTGGACGTGGACTTTAATCACTTGAAAGTCAGGCAGCTCCACTACATTCAGTCGCTGGCAATGGCCCAATGGCAAACACTGACTCCCCACCTTTCCCAGGACCGATGTCACTTGGAGAGACCAGCTAGAACAGAACTAGGAAACTTTTCCAGGTTTTTTGATCAAAAAATCCCTTAAAGCCCTTTTATTATAAAAAATGACAGCAATATCAGACTTGTAAATCTAGCAAAGTGCAAATGCTCTAAACCAGAGCAACTGGCATAAAGGCTGTTTAGTCCAGGGTATCTGAAGTCCTCCCAGACAAAATCAGCCCAGAGGGCTCCACAGAGGCTCTGGCTCTTTTCCCTCCTCAGGGTGAAAGCTGTAGGATGTAGGTTTCTTAGTTTCTAGTTAAATGACAGAAAGACAGTTCCCACAAAAGAAGCACCGGATTTATTTATATATTTATTAATGTTTTTTTTCTTTCCCTGTAGCACAAACGAATCCTGTCTTCCTTGACAGCGTTCAGCGTGACATCTGTCCCAGCACCGGCTACATTTATAACTTCCCCGAGCCAGCAGACATCTGCAATGTTGAGCAGAACACGCAGTGCAGGATGCAAGACTAAATAAAAACCATTCAAGGTTTCCCACGCTTTGATGGACAAAACAGCTCAACATTTCAGAGCAACGAGCCACAAATTCTCCGGCAACGTCCGCAGCCAGCCCAGGCGATGCTGGCGCTCCCGAGACGAAGCACCGCTGAAGAATTTCAGGACTCCACCCCAGTTTTTCTAAAGGATATTACTGAGGAGGGAGGAGTGGCACAGTTTTACCTGGTCCTTGTGTAAGGATAAGCATTCCACGACTCCTCTTCGACTCGCAGAGCCGCCTTGGGCAGGATGGAGCGGAACCAGCTGGGGATGTGCATGCCGATGTGATACACCTTGTGAGTGTACTGCCCGTTGCCTCCTGGCCCGTCCACGTAGGGCCTGTTCTCCAGGATCTCCACCCCGCTGCCTTCCCCACATGTCTCCTCTCTGCTCTTTTTCTGGAAGGGAAAAGTCTCACACGGTTAATCTTTCCAGGTTGTTGTAACTGCCCGACTCTCAACGCGCACGGACCCTGGGGATGGTTTCTAGGAGTCCTCTGAAACAGAGAGCTGTAGCAGCACCCTGGCACTAAGGTTACCAAACCTAGAGATTATAAAGGAAAAATTTAGAGACTCGTCTGGCCAACAAAAAACCAGAGAACTGATTTATTAGAAATCCAGTGAAAAAATTCTGATTTGGATACTAAGTTTGAATGGAGATCTACTGACACCTCAGTTCCTGCTCCTGTAACAGGTTTACACATCACACCCCAAAACCTGGCTCCAGCTGTGAATCACCCAGCAGCACAAAAATCTTTTACATCAGCAGATGGCACAGCAAAAGGGAGTTTGTTCAGCCTGGCACGTTGCTGTGGTGGTGTACCAGCACGAAGAATCACACACACACCTGGCACAGCATCATCTCAGGCCGGACACGAGGAGGAACTTCTTTACTCAAAGGGTGGTCAGACATTGGGAGGGGCTGCCCAGGGAGGTGGTGGAGTCCCCATCCCTGCAGGTGTTCAAGAAAGGGCTGGATGTGGCACTTCAGTGCTCTGGATCTGGTTGACAAGGGGGTGATCGGTCACAGGTTGGACTCGATGACCTTGGAGGTCTTTCCCAACCTAAAGGACTGGATGATCACAGAGCTAAAGACCACTCTATGACCTAATCCTACAGGATTTGGGGGCTTTTTGCATGAAATCTGGCCTGGCAGCAGCTCTCCAAGAAGAGACTATGCTCTGCTAATTAAGATATTTAGAAGAAACAACCCAAGTTTGCCAGAATGCACACTGCATCCCTTGGCAGCCCCCGGATTTTGGCTTATTTGTGGGATTGTCCTTCACTGAGAAACCTGGCAAAAATTCCTTCAATTAAAAAAAACCCAACCAATTTCAGTGCTTCTAAGAAGAGCTAGAGGCAAACCAAATATTTATTGATGCCTAACACACTTCAGCAGACTGGATGATGTATAACCTGCATCATTTCCAAACAACAGATTCATCCTGTTAGCATTTTTGAGTTCATTGTTTGTATTCGAGAGCACAGCACTTTGAAAATTAAGGGGGGAAAAAAGGAATTTTACACCAAGAATCAACCGTGAAACGTAACACAATAACAGCTTCTCATTTCTGGCACACAAACAATTCAAAGGATAACACAATTTAACAGAAAATTATTAATCAGATGCAAGAGATCAGCTTCTCATCTTTTGAGAACAAGATGATAAGCCAACAGAGCTATTTAGAAGTAAATAGCTCTGTTTTTAAAGAGCTTTCAAGTGATATAAAATTTAAATAGCCATAACCAAGAAACCTAAACAACCGACAATCTAAAGATTAAGTTTTTTCTCAGTCTCCAAACTGCAATAGAAAAAAATAGAAAAACAGAAAAGTACTTTTTTTACAGTTTGTTTCTAACACTCAGCTGGCAGTTCATTAAAGCACACATCCTCTTCAAACAAATTACTGACTTTCAGTTCTTATATAAGCACTGACCAAGTCCTGTACAAATATTTATGACAATAACATTAAATAATCTTGATGACCCCAAAATCTAGTTAATTCAAAGGTCTTGGAAAAGGCAGTAGCCCAGCCAGCACAGTGAATGTGTCAGAATAACAGTGCAGCATCTGCTCTGAACAGTTCATACAAATTATGGAGATCTAGAGTTTTATTATGTGGCAGAGGCTCACGGAAATCGTAAGCAAAGGGAAGATGGGTTTTCTTCGTGCCAACTTATCACAGTAGAATTGGACATCAGATGGATTTAAAACTCCATTCTAGAGCCCAGTCTATTCTGCAAGTCCTCATTTGGGACCAAAACATCCACACTCAGAGCCAGCACTGACATTCTCCACCTGGCTCTTCGCTACTCAGCCGGTTTTAACAAAAATCGCTCTGCATGAGGATGAGCTGCCTGGTTCTCATCCTACAGCTGGAACGCTGCTGACCTGCCATACCAGCCAGTTTGTTTGGTTTTTTTTTATGTGAACACTTCCATAAGGAGCTTTTCCACACTGAGGTTCTCAGCCAGAGCTGCCTGATGATGGGAGATGGGAGGGTGGCACCGTGTTGAGACAGAGAAGGCAAAAACGCAAGTCCACTGAAACTCTTTGTGAAAGTCAATGCACATCTCACTTCTGATTCCTGATTTTATTTACTTCTATGCACCTGCAACAGACTGCAAACCCTATTCTGAGAGCAGGGCGTGCTTCCTCCTTCAGCTTTTCCAGGTGACCACCTCCAGCCCACAGCCTCTGTCACCCAGTTCCAAACCTTAAGCAAATTTTGGCCCTACACATTCCTCCTACTTGTCACTTTATCCACATAAGATATGACAAGGGCAGCAAGAACATTTTCTTAGATGAATGTGAAATAAGAGCTGCAGCTCTGCTGACAAAAAAATACAAAAAAAAAATCAAAGATTATAACCCAAACTATCTTTAGAGCCAGGACTTTTGAGTCAGGCCAAATTTATACTCAAAACACAACACATTGCTGGGAAGGATAGTACGATCACAGAGAAACTCCACACAATAAACCCACACAAAAAGCTGCTTCCCAGCCCTTCACACCCTCATATTTACCAGCTGGCTCGTTGAGGAGGCAACAAGTGAGGTAAGGAAGAGCCAAAAGGGTCAGGGTCAGTACAGTCACTGACCAGTCACTAAAAGATCTCTTTCCCATATGATAAAAATAAAGACATCAGCCACATGCACTTGAGAGACCAGGATGATACTCTGGGTGTAAGTGGTGCTGTGAAAGTGAAGCACTTCTGGGAGTGAAGAGCAATTTGCTCTTCAGCCATAAAGCCTTTTCATGCCTATTGTGACTGAGCCACAGCCTGGAGGGGGCTTGTTACAAGAAGTGGTCTGTAAACAACAATTAAAAAATAACCATTGATTAGGAAAACACTGGGTGTGAGGAGTGTCTGGCAAAGCCTCCCCAGAGAATATCTTCTGAGGGGGGCAGATGTGCAGGCATTTTAGGGTCAGTCTCCCAGGTTTCAGCCTCATAGACCCATGTCCCTGTGAGAAGTAGAGACTTTATTTAGCAGCTTACCTGTGTCATTTCTACTCACCATTAACTGACACAGCATCTTCCCCCTATCAGTATCTGAGGAATGCTCCCCAACGAAATCAAAGAGTAGCTGACAGCCTAAATATGCAGGTTATCTAAGCCATAATCACAGTAAACCATCTTATATTGTATTACAACAGGAAATCCAGTCATCCCTTTAGAAGTCCCTCTCTTGTGCTGATGACACTCCATGTTCTGCACGGCCCCATCAGTAGCTTTTCAGGACAGATGGTGACACAGATCCCTTCTAGCTAAAGTAATAGCATTAAATTACTCATAACAGGGAACCCAGGGAAGCAGATGCACCATGATTAGCAAGAATGCCAGTTACTTAAAGGTTTCTATTAAAATAAATCTCTTGGCACAGCAGCATAGCATGGGACACAGCACATGACCTCAGCACAGCAATCACAGATGAATAATTCCCATGAATGTCACTTAACCACTGGGCAAACCTAACCCCATTTATCATCTGCCCTTCACAACAGGAGAAAAGCAGCTGGGAACAAAGCCTTCCACGAGCAAAGGCAGGTTGGACAGTTCTCAGATCTTCCACCTCCTTTCCCAGTCAGAAATGTGCCTCCCCACCAGTTCCCATCCTGCAAAGCTGAGTGGCACCAGGTGACTCGATGCAACTTGGATATTGTTCTAGTGGGACACAGCTCCCTAAAGGAATGATGATGGATGGCAAGAGAAACCCACACAACCTCAGGAATCTCACCACAGCTGGAGGAACAGCACTGACACCAGAATGCCCAATGCTGGATGAAACAGTCAGGACGTGGCTTACTGGATCAGCTGGAGAAATAGAGAAGTTAGCCTGGGTAAGCTAAGCTTGGCTTGCAGTGTTTTGATTTTGGGGAATTAGAAGAAAGAGCAGCCCCACAAACCAACTCAGAAGAACACCAAGAAGAACATTATCCTAAACTAGAATCCTTCTCCTTGTGTTCCAGCCCAGGCTGCAGATGGGCTCAGGTGCATAAGCAGGGAACCTCTGCAAAGCCAACAGCAGCACTGCAAACAGCTCAGGGGTTTAGTTTCTCCTCCAGTTGTCTTTTTTTATTGGAACTTACTCCTTCGAGCACTGCAGTGATACTGCAGAGAACAGTAAAGGTTTCCCAGTGGTAATGAGTGATCCAGGCATTGTTCTAGCTTTCAAAAACAGATTATAGCAATAATCCTACCTTGTTTACCACTGATTATTGTTTACAGTACAACCTCTCAATCTGAATAAGTGAGACAGTGGTTACAAAAGGCTGAGATGCTTTAGTTTCCCCCCGAAGTTCTTCCATCCCCACAGCAATGCAGTCACACAGCGGCCGACTCTGAGGGCCCACCAGAGTTTTGATTTGAGATTACTCCAATTATGGAGACTGACAGCACTTGACAGACCTATCATCCGCAGATAATGAAGACACAAATCACTGTCTGGAAACAATACCCAGAAGATTTTTTTCTGAGGTGTTTTATCCTCCAGCTCCCGGTTGGAAACAGGGTATTTTGACAGTCCAGACAAATTCTTTTGGGAGAATGCATTAAAATAACACTGAACTCTTGGGATTTTTTTAGCCCACTTAGACACAGATATGGACACAAGAAGTTCCCAGCCAGCTGATGGTTTCACTTAACAATGACAGCAATGACATCTATGTAACCACAGAACAAGAACATGACAGCAAATATCCCCAGAGGATCCCTAACATACTTGCTCATACTGTGGCAAGGGAGGCTGAGAAAACATTCCCTCTAACCAATTACTATTTTTTTTTGTCATTGTTTTGGATGCTAAGGCTACCACAAATCCCGATTAAGTGTCCAGAAACAGATCTGTCCTTTGGGAAGCAAAGCCTGAAGCCTCACAAAATGCACTGGACAACA